AAAAAAAAAAAAAAAAACCACACCAGAAAAAGGAAAAGAAAAAGTGGATTTTAGTCATTTAATTAAGTGATTAAACTTTTCCTTGAATTAAACTCTCTTTCAGTATTAATATGTAAAAAGTGAAGTTAGGGCCACGCTTTTTGATGTCCTTTATCTCGCTCCACTGCTCAACCTCAAGTTAAACATGATCTGGGAAGGCTGGGAGCAAGGGATATCAGCTTCTAGCCCTGAAATAAGAATCACAATGCAGCTGCTGTAAAATCCTTCATGATATTACGCTAAGAAAATTAAAATACCAGTATGCGAGATTGTTTGTTTTAGATACATCACCTATTTTAGTTCAACAAGCATGTGGGCTGCAGGACTCCAGTCTGCATCGCCTGAAGAGTAAACAGAGGGTCCCTAAGGACCCAGATTCATGACCCGGCTTTCAGAAATTAGGCCCTGCCCTGACTTCCAGAAACAATATTGTTTTGATAAAGTCCATGTCCTTCAAACAGCCTTCTGCTTCTTTAGGACACATTGCCAGTTATTCTGGATTGTTACGGGCATGAAAGACTCCCTTTCTCAGAACTGATGCCACCTGGCATTGGCTTACACTGCTCAAAATGCCTCTATTTTTACTTTTTTTTTAATTGCCTAGGGCCTCTGATGGTGATTGTCGAATACTGCAAGTACGGGAATCTATCAAACTATCTGAAGAGCAAGAGGAATTTTTTCTGCCCTAACAAGGTGAGGAGGCAGATGGTCCTGGTAGGGTTCACCTTACCTGACGTAAGTGCTGATGATGTAGATGTCATCTCTGAGCTTGTCTCCTTAGACACTCTTCTACCAAAGGAGAGGAATTACTTTTGGGTGAAGTTCACCTGACCTGTRCTAATATTTGGTGTGGGATGTGCTGTGCCAAGAAAGGATTCACCTCTCCCTGGCTGTGCAAGGAGCCTGCTGTGACTAATTTGGCTGGAGCCACCAACAGCGAGGGGAAGYGAATCCTATCCAACGTGTCCCCACATGCTCTTGCCCTGCTGCTGATGAGCCCATTCCTGGTGAGCTTGGGGTCAGCAAAGCCAAAGGAAGTGGTTTTGYCCACTGATTTCTGAGTACTGCTGGGAGTGCAAATAAGATAATACCAATTAAACCTCATGTCCCAAGACACCCTAATATTCAGAGATTTACAAGGAAACTTACTATTGCATGAGGAGAAGAGCTAACAAGAGGAAAAGAGATTAGAGTCTTGTCCTCGCATCCCACAGCCCTCTGAAGCAAATTCATGGCATGTTTCTTATTACAAATCTAAATCCAAATGTCCCAGAAAATTCAAATTGTTCCAGAAAAACCCTCCAAAGGATCCACGGMTCTGAAATGAGATTTAGGAGCCTGGATACAGAACAGTAGGTCTCAAAATCTCTGCTCAGCTGTGTCAAAAGCTTAGCAGCATCTCAGGGGGTTTCTTTAGGGGGACTCTGTGGGAGAGCCCACTCGAGAGGACATCCCCTTTAAAATGCTTTTGTTGAATCTCTGTTCCCAAGGCTGTCCATGTTGTACTCCACAAGCCACAGCAACTGGCTCCTCCAACATGTGGCTGCTGGGGTCGGATGCTCAGCAGGGAGCATGGCTGGGCAYGGTCCATCCTGGGTGGAATCACTCCCATGCCCCCCTCCCAGAGCCAGTGCTCCAACACCCTTGGCAAGGTCGTCCAGACAGGAAGGAGGTGTAAGTTCAGCTCTGCACCAGCATGCTCAGGGAATAGAGATGGTTGCAGGACAAGAGGAAAAGTAGGAGGGTGCAAGAATATGGCCAGGCAGCCAGGCTGCTCTACAGGCAGCAGTGAGAAAGCATTTTCCAAACAGCACTGCATGTGTCCTGTTAAACCATCCCATCACTGGCTGTAGGAAGAAAGCATTTGATAAAGGCACTGAAGAGAGGCAGCCACTTCCAATAGCAGCTGTGTTTCCAGCACCAAGCACCCCTGCTCCTCACTGCAAGGGCTCACAAGCCCACACCAAACCCCATGCAGGGCCAATGAGACAGGTATCTTAAGCAGCCTGGGACAAAAAGCTGACATTTGAGAGGTCTGGGATACCTGCATTTTGGGCGCAACCTTCCCAGCCTATTTATTCATGCCCCTTCTCTGTCTGATGGAGGGAAGGGGGCCCTTTCATATGTCTCATTTCAGGCTGAGATAAGCCACAGCCCAGCAGACAGGTCCATCCAGAAACCCTGCAAATCCTCACCGCGTCACAGACGGCCCACTGCCCTGGTTACCCCAAAACCAGGGTGCTCCCAAGACACCAAGTTTCTGTCCTCTGGAGATGGCAGCCTTGGTGGAGCACAGACCTGCCACCAGCCCCTGCTTGCCACAGTGGCACCGGACACCCCTGCCAGTGAGAGAAGTGACCACCCACACCACAGAGCACCAGCCCAGCAGAAGGGCAACTGCAGTCTGACTCAGTTCCTTTCCCACCTGCTCTGCTGCTCTGATAAAGCACCTCTTCTCCTCTGTTTGTTTGAAGGACTCCTCTCTGCAGGGAGAGGCAATGAAAGAGAAAAAGGATATTGAGCCAGTGGAAAGCAAAAAACAAAGGCTGGCCAGTGTCACCAGCAGCGAGAGCTTTGCGAGCTCTGGGTTCCAGGAAGATAAAAGTCTGAGTAATGTGGAGGAGGACGAGGAGGGTAGGTATTCATTCCTTCCTGTCCCTACACAGACTGTGATATTTTTACAAGATACTGTGAATCCCTGATTTTTTTTTTCCTCATTTATCACCCTAATAAACATCCGTGGGAGACGCTCAGAGGGTCATGTCCAGAGGGTAGAAGATTTAAAAAAAGATTATTTCCAGGGTTACTAAATCTGACAGGAAAATGTGTGATTGTTTCTTCTGACTGCTCCTTATCTTTGGGGAAAACACAGCAGTGTCCAAAGCACAGGGTGTAAAGCAAGCACTATTTTTGTTTCAGTGACAGTAGGTGGACCTTCAGATACCCCTCTATGGAGACTGAATTTATGGGAATAAGGGGGTCTGTAAGAAAGGGGGAAAACAACTGCCTGTGACAGTTTTGTCTGACATCTTTGTAACAAACCCTGCTTTCCACCCCTGCAGATGCTGATGACCTGTACAAGCTGCCCCTCACTATGGAGGACCTGATCTCTTACAGCTTCCAGGTGGCCAGAGGCATGGAGTTCCTCTCCTCCCAAAAGGTGAGTTTTGCACTGAGGGTTTTTCACAGGATTCAGAGGTAAAATCATGTCTACWTTGTAGTGATACCTTCCTTGGGAGAGGTCCCAAAGGAAGAGCCATTTTCCTCTTGGCATTATAAATATAACTGTGTTTATCCAAGTATCCATAGTCCATAAACACAGGATCATGACTGAAGGCAGTGGGTCAAGCTCATTTATTTGAGGAAGATCTTTTGGGTGTGGTAGGTTTTTCCTTAATTTCAGCATATATTAGGGAGCTCCAAATGATTCAGCTCTTTCCCTGCAAATGTCAAAGAACTTAAAAATTTGTCACTTTCTGGACTTAGTAATTTTATTTTTTAATGGTTATCGCTGTATGCAGTAACTCCTTGTAAACTACAGGCAGCTTCCCTAAAAAAACTTATATTAATAAAAAAAATCTTTTTTAAAGGATATGTGAGACAGGAAATTTATGGGCAGGAATAAGGAAATGCAGTTTGATTGTGAAACTGTTTATTATAGTGCATTCATCGTGACCTGGCAGCCAGAAACATCCTCTTATCTGAGAACAATATCGTGAAGATCTGTGATTTTGGCCTTGCAAGAGATATTTATAAGAATCCTGATTATGTGAGAAAAGGAGATGTAAGTCAACATGCTGTTTATTTACCCAAATGTTTATAACATGTCRTTTCAAACTGTCCACCAAAATGTTCTGTAGACCTTCACACTTCTCAAATTTAAGAGCTCGAAGGCTGTCATGGTTTTTATGTGAAGATGAGCTGTCCAGATGTGTTGAGGGTCTGGAGAGCATTTCTGTCCTCAGGCATAAGGCTTAAGCATGCTAATTGCTTCACAGCTTCGCCCTGTTAATACTTCATGTTTTAGACATTCCTTGGCTGGCTCAGCATAAGCCCCTTACTYAGCAAACTTCCTTTAAGGTTTTAAACTTTCAAAAGAAGGCGGTGCCCCCACAACGCTCCCATGCCAGGCCAAGCCCTGCTCGTGGTGCCTCGAGCAGATAAGCAGGACTTGCTCCTCCAGCATCCAGTGTTTTTTTGTCCCTGCTGCAGAGAGCAGACAGCGAGTGCCCTGTCAGCCCTGCTGTGAAGGGCTGGGCCAGCAAAGTGTGGCCGCACTCACTGATGCCACAGGAATCTGGTGGGGCATTGGAGACATGCGGAGAGTCTCTTTCTAGAGGTCTCTTCCACCTGCCAGCTATGCCCACATCCATAAAYAGCTTCCAGGATTTACAGCGTTGCAAATTTAGCTGGAAAAGGTTCAAACARCTTTGGTGCTGCTCAGGAGACACTAACAAGTTTGCTGAAGGGGCTTCAAGTGTTGCTGATACACTCCTGCAATTCTGGCTCTGAAAATTTCCCTGAGAATATCTCCAACACCACTACAGAACTGTTGGTGCTTGGATGCAGGGTTTCCTGCCCTGTCTCCATGATGCTGGCAAGAGACCTCTGCTCCTACACACCCCCACATCCCTGTAAAGGAAAGGCCTGGTCACAGGTTTCCAGTGTCTGGTGTTTTGTGCCACACGTTTTTTAAAAACAGCCTTTCACTCCCACAATTTGTTAAGTGCATGAATCAGTGTGGGTTTATCTTGACTGCCTGTAAGGAAATCCCACAGGTTCCTGCTTGAATGGCAATTATTTACATAATAATATATAGTTGATTCATCCGTGATTAAAATCTTTTAGGCTTTGAAAATAATAGTCAGATTTGTCCCTTTTACTCCAGGCTCGACTTCCTCTCAAGTGGATGGCTCCTGAATCCATATTTGATAAAATCTACAATACAAAAAGCGACGTGTGGTCCTACGGGGTCTTGCTGTGGGAGATCTTTTCCTTGGGTATGTTAACTCTGCACCTCAGGAGCTCAACAGGACTGGGGACTGCAGCTTGGGGTAAACATCCATTACCTTCAGTGATCTCTTGCCAGGTGTTTCAGAAAGAACTAAATCCCCCACAAGTAGGGTGTGCAGGTAAAGGCAGAGGGATTATTGTGCCCCTGTGAACTAGAAATTTTGGTGCTTTTAAGAGCACTGGAAGCTCATTTGCCAAGCTGAAAGCCTTAAAGGATAGCTGTCTGAGAGCTTTGCCACCTATTTCTGCCAGGGGCAAAACCCAAGCTTCCCTCTTTTCCCTGTAGAAACCCTACAGGGCCGAGGATGTGGGGCAGCACAGCCAGAACAGTCTCAGTTGTCTGCCTGACGGCACAAAGCAGAAAAAATTGGGCCATTTTTAAAGCATTTTAATGGAATGTGGAACCCTGTGGGATAACAAAGAGTGGTGATCCTGCATCATCAGCTGCCCAAAACACCACCTCCTGTGCCACAGACAGCACTGGAGACACTGAGCGCCATGAGCTGGGTGCTCTCTCAAAAGCTCCTGATTCCTCCTGTGGGAGCAAGGCAGTCAAACAGTTTGCATCTCAGATTCCTTCACCTTTCCTGAGCCCACGAGGTGCCCCCAGCCCGGGGGTATCCAGCACCCCCTTCACCCAGGCTACTGGACACAGCGGGAGAAAAGCATTTGCACAGATGCCGCAGGATGAACTGGAGCATGCAATCTGAAATTAAAACCCAGGGAAGCCGTTTTTTCCCCTTTCTTTCACATGGAAAAGGCAGGATACAAGATGTACATTAAGTGGGAACAATGACCATCAGAATAGAAGAATCTTAATTGAGTTCAACACAGAGGCTAACAAAAGAGGCGAACAGCAGAGGAAACAATACTATACAATTCTCAGGACAATCAATCATTTATTAGTTTAAATACATGTTGTTGGTCAGCCTGCCAACTCTTGTTATTTTATGGTCAGCCTCATAATACCTGCTATTTTTTCCTTAAAGCTGTAGCTCCTTGAACCTGGTGACTCTCTGACTCTATGAAAGGTCTTTTTTTCTTTTTCCCCTTTCATTTTCCCTTTTCCTGATTTTTTTTTTCCACAGAAAAAAAAAAAAAAAAAATAAAGACCAACAATACAATCAGGCTGCAACTTAAAAACACAGAACATCAGAAAAACAATGCAAATGCACTGTGATCTGATTCAAAACAATGATTTCATTTTTTTCAAGGTGATTTTGAGCATTTGGAGTTTGCTAATATTGTGCTTACTAGAATTTGGAGTAGTCCAAATCAATATAAAGACTTAGCTTTTCAAGAGATACTGTTCAAATCATGCGTATTTTTTCTATTCAGACCAGGTAAGCAACACCAGTAACTGTGGTCTTGGCCTTGCCCCCTCTCCAAAGACTGGGGCTTGGAGCACAACCAGCAGTAATTYCCTGCCTGTGGCAGGCAGCAGGGCCAGATCCTGCAGGGGGGGTCACCCCCTGGCCCCCAGCTCTGCCACATGATGCTGCACACCCCAAGTGTTTGAGGGAGGTGCACAGGACCACAGCAAGGTCATAGGTACTCAAGGCATGTCTCTCTTCTCCCAATGTCACCTCCAGGTGCCTCTCCTTACCCCGGAGTCCAAATCGATGAGGATTTCTGCAGCAGGCTGAAGGAAGGCACAAGAATGCGAGCCCCAGAGCAAGCGACTGAGGAAATGTAAGATATTTTTACTTGCCTTGTGTACTAGTGCCCTCCTGGGCTGCCCTGCAGATGACATTCCAGGCTCTGTAAAAGCATCCTGTGCCACCCTAAAGAAAAACAACCCAATCTGGCATTGCTGTCATCTTGTCCACCCCCCACCCTGGCCCCTGGCTCTTCCACAGGGAGAGGGTGGCGAGGGACACAGACGGGAGCCCAGTGCACCACCAGGGCTGGGCTCTGAGGAGAGGTGAGCAAGGACGAGGAGGAAGAGGAGGAGAAAGGTCATTCATTCCTCGCCAGGTTTAATATTACCGACATGCACACAGATAAGTGCTGGAGGAATATGACATTATTAACATCGTCTTGACTTAGGAAGTGACAGCGGAGGCTTCCTCGCAATCACTCGGGTAATGAGGGTCCACCCTTTCCTGTACACGGTGTCTGATGACAGAGGAAGGTGACGGGGCCCGCAGCCTCCCCACCCACCTGGGTTGTCGAATCCTTCCACCGTGAYGTCAGCTGTCATTCCCTGCTCCCCTGCCTTCATGTGCAATCTCAAGCTGCTACTGCATGGCCAACAGCTTTTTGGAGACCAAGGTGGGTCAGGACAGAGCACCTTGCCCGGGGAGGCACATGCAGCACACTGAACATTCAGCCTGTGACACAAATCKCTGAGGACCATGAACATGGCCAGGGCCTTTTACATCTGGAGGCAAAGTCAAGTACGTGTGGTTGTCTTGGTGCCTTCCTGACTGCTATGTCATGACTCTAAATAGCAACACTTACCAAAAAAGAGCTCTGGCCGAAGAAAAGGATGCGAGCCAGCCATGCCTATCTGGGACTACTGCCCATTGACTAGGTTTATTATCCTAGTGACAGTACATAAGAGCTTTTTTTTTTTTTCTCTTCCACATATTTTATTGCAGGAAGGAAAGCTCGGCTCAACCAATACAAGGAAGTGACACATCCATATAAGTCATCTTAGCATGCCTTTAAGATACCTTAACCTAAACATTGCCAGTTAATAGATGTTTAATACAAAGGTTTAACGACAAATTAGGAATGAAAAAAAGGAAATATGACTGGTTGGCAGAATTATCCTTTTGATGTCTGCGGGTCTGTCGGGTCCCGCAGGAATTTTTTTTCTTTATTTGTGGAAAGTTTACTGCTTTTCTTTTAGGAAGAGGCCTCAATCGTGTTAGAAAGAACCTCTGTAAAACCAAGCAGGTTCAGGATTTAACTCTATCAATGACAAGCTCTCAAAGACTGTGCTACCTTGGATCAAACTGAGCTGTAACCCCACCATGTGCTCACTTTGATGTCCTCACAGTTACCAAATTATGCTGGACTGCTGGCAGAGCAATCCCAATGAGCGGCCGCGGTTCTCCGAGCTGGTGAAAAAGTTGGGCGACCTGCTGCAAGCAAATGTCCAGCAGGTAGTAACATCACAACCACTGCCACCAAGGCTGGGGACACTGGCCAGGTGGACCCAGGAATAACGCTTTCATTTCTTGTTTGTATTTAGGAAGGCAAAGACTACATACCCCTCAGCACAGTGTTTACAACAGAARGTGGGTTTCCCCCTGCATCTGAACCTTCATGCAATGAAAATTTTCCTGTTACAAGCTCAAGTTGTGGAAGCATTGAAAGCATCAGGTGAGATAAACAAGATTAAGACTGGGTTTGTTTGCTGGGGATGATAGCATGCTGCATAGCCTGGTTTGGACCCGGATGGGAGAAAACATTCAGACACAGCCCACAGGTGGCCTGAGTGTCCCACCAGCTGCTGAGTCACCCACTGTTGTGGCTCTTCAAAGTGCCCCTGCCCAGGGAGACCTGCAGGTTACAGGGCTCAGGCACAGTGAGAGGGGCAGCTGTGTGTACTTTGGAACTGGGGAGTAAGATTTGGGTAGGGTTTGGTTAACAAGTCCATTTTGTACAACCTACCTCAGTGATAGTTGGGAACTACCAAAAGAAACAGAGAAATAACCAACACTTCCTGTTTGTGCACTTCACACTCTCACCAAAAACTGTCCGGCTTCTCTTGTTGAACAGATACATAAACACTTTCAAAATAAACCCATCCCAGCGCATAAAGACATTTGAAGAGCTTCCCGTCAAAGAAACGCTTGTACTTAATGTAAGTGACTCCTGGGCCACGTATTTCTTTTTAATTGTATGACAGATTTATACAGGGATAATCAAGATGGGGGGGTTACTGCTTTGTCACCTCCAGCTGATACAAGGTGCAAGATTAGCTATGCTTGCAACAGAGGTTATCCCACTGCCCTACAAATTGTGGTCAGAGATCCTTGCTGGCCATGTCATGGGCAGMAAACACTCCTTCCCTGGCAAGAAGAGGTTAGTTCCAGTAGGTCTGCAAGGCCAGAGTCCTACCTGAATCCCACTGGTGTGGGTGAGACACATAAAATCCCTTGGATTTGCATTTTCATCTGAACAGTGGAGCACAAAGAAGAATTGCGAATCACTTTTCCATCAGAGGTGGCTGGTGGGAACAAGTCCTGTTATCAGACAGACAAGCTGGAGGCATGTCTACCAATACRACACACATCCAATCCTGGTAGGGGCAGGCAAGGGTGAGAGGTTGGGGCAAGCTTTTAGTGCCCCAGTTGAATGCATTAAGCAGCAGGAGGWGGGAAAGGCACAGTGATTCTTGCAGGGTTGACCTGGTGGCTGGCCAGAACCTCACMCTGCACATAGCCACTTTCCTTCCAGCACCCTGTATCTGTGCTAACGTTATGTGTCTGCTGTATCCCAAGGCACGTGTGGTTTGGAAAGGCACCATTAAATACCTGCACACTGCAGCACCCCTAGCACCACACAGGTGTCATCTCCTTGAGCTGTCTGAGTATCAGTCACCAAAAGGATGCTGGAAATCAGACCAAAGAGGAACTGAATCTGCTGTAAAATACTACTTAACGCCTAACAGAACTACATCTTTTTTCTTCAAGGATTATCAAGCAGACAGTGGGATGGTGCTGGCTCCAGAGGAACTGAAACGCTTCACATGGACAGGCAGCAAGCAGAAACGGACACTCTTTGGGTCTGTACTTTTTTTTCCCCCCTTCTTCTCAGGTTTTAGATGGCAAAGGAGAATTCAAGGTCCTTGTGCTAAAYCATGCCTCATGAAAGTAGCTGAGGCATCCCCAGTCCCTACAAACATTCTTGYTGAGGTATGTCCTACTTGGTTGAACCAGCAGTCAATCATCCTCCCTACGTAGCCCTCCACAGGCCTTAGAGGAAACAAATAACCCTCAACCCCTTTGATGCGCATCAGCAMTATGATTTTTAGCACTTTATTGATCCATCTAATGTTCAATTTAATGCCAGGCTGGACAAGTAAAYGTCAGAGAGCAGTGAACTATGCTAAGAGGTAGGCAACTATAGCAAACAAGCCCTTAATAATGARGAAGGAGGAACGTGTGGCTGTGAAGGATTTGTAGTTGTTTCTGTAGGTCCCCAATGGCACCCCAGCTGGGACAAGGCCCYCTGTGCTTGTTTTTGCCCTTCTTTTCCATGACTCAGCTAAGCAGAGCCCATTCAACACCCATGGGCTCAGGATGGTAAAGTGGCAACTTACAATAGATGGATGTGAGGGCCTCACTTCTCTTCCTGCCTTTAAGCACTTGAATATATTGGCCATCTTCCTCCACCTAATTCCTGACAGCTGCCCAAGCAGGGCACTAGGGCTGCTCTAAGAAAAGAGTTGCACTGACATAATAAACACTTCCCATTTACAGAGAGTTTATCTCAATGCCKGTGCTGTATCAGTTCCCAGCCGCTTCGAAGCTGGCAGTGTCCTGCTTTCAGCTCACTGCTCTCAGCCAGCCCCGAGACCGCTCAGACCCAACCCATCGTTCATCTCATGTTGGCAGGAGGTCAAGGCCAACCTGCGCCAAACTTGTAAGCGCTGGGCAGGCTGAGAAGTGTAGCATTGTCTCAAAGAATAATTAAGAGTTGGCTRAAACATGCAGGCTAGGCAGAGAAGACTCACTTCACAAAAAATCTCAGTCACTCAGTTGGTTGAAGCACAGAAATACACATAGGAGAGCGTGCACACTCACACCCAGGCTGAAAASCACAGTGCAGTGGAGCACCGCTCATGGGTGGCAAAGCCGGTGCAACACAAGCCACTTTAAGCAAATGCTGGGAAATCCTTTCTTCTTGACTTGACTTTTCAGAAAATAGGCTCCTAAGCAATTTTATGGCACTTCAATTCTAGTGAGGCATGCTGTCTTCAGAGAAGCCAGGTACTACAAAGCTTGGACTGTACGTGGATATTACAGGGCTCCAAAGGATGCAATGCTCCCCAGAACTGGTTTAACTCCTTTTTTCTCTGTGTGTTTCTGAAGGCTGCTGTCAGCCACAGAAAAAAAACAAGGCAACCTCCCCATATGAAATATATGAAATGCCTTTTTCCTTGTGTGGCACAGAATGCATAGGGTGTGTCCCCAGCATCCCTCTGGAAGTGCTTTAAGGGACATTTTCAACTGCAGAAGGAAAATAAATGCTTAGATGAGGAAAAAAAAAAAAAAAGTGAACAGCAGCTGTTAGAACACAAATCCTTGGGAAAACAGAGCAGTTGACTGAGATCATACAAGGTCATCTGGCCTGCAAGCTAGACAAGTGGTACTGTAGCACTGTGCCAAAACCCACTCATGGATGTAAAAATGTAGGCAGTGACCCTTTAGTCTACACACATTCCTAAAAGTGCTAGCTTCTTAACTAGGCATTTGCTACTTAAAATTAATTGTAGCAGTAAATAAATACCCCTAAAACTGGTACTGGGCAAGGTGGAACCTGGAAGGGTTTGACACACGTAAACTGATATTAGCAGATGTACACTCCCGCTTCTCCTTTGCTTCTTAGGCATCCTGCTYCGTGGTGCTGTGCTCACTCTTGTGCTAACATTCCAGCTTGGCTTTTCTTGCAGGGAGCTGGTTCAGGTTGCCAGATTGTCAGAACAGTTTCTGAGCAAGCAGTAGCAGCTCACCATCAGCRCAGCTGGTGCCAGCACCAGGCTGAGGAAGGGTTTCACTGCCCATCGGCAGCAGCTTCCCTACTGTTAGATCCCTTCACTGTAACAAAGCTTTGGAAGATTCAGACTGGGCAGAGCTGAAGAACAGCACAGGGTGGAAGAAGCCAAACCCAGTGCATCCTGCCTGTCTCCAAAAGTACAGCCRAAGTTTGTTTCAAAGGACACGAATCAGTTGACTGCAGGAGAGTGCCAGCACATGGAGTAGTGCTTACTCTGTGACCAGCCCCAGAGCCAAGCCCAGGGCAGAGCAGAGTGGGRAGTCCAGCCCGACAGTGAAGAGGTACCCCACTGGCCCCACTGAGGCCCCTCCTCTTGGGCTTCCACTTGTCCTGGGTAGGGAAAGGCACTAATGCCAAAGCCCACCCTTGGTTTCACTACAGGAAAGAGCATCAGCCCTGGTGAGCCCCTCAGGCACAGGTGATGGTCAGGAGCACAAAACAGAAATGGCTGCAACATGTCTTGGACTTGCTGATGCCATTGAGATGAAAATTATATTTTCTACAGCASGGAGAACAATAACTTTTTCCTAATACAAGTGTTTCCTCAGGTAAAAAGACCACAATAGAAAGGTTTGGGGACAGAGAAGGAAGACTCTTCTGAGCTGCGCTCCCTTGCAGGTGAAAAGATGCCAACTGGAAACCTTTTCTAGCTTTTCAATATTGGTGCAAAAGCCCAACCCACATAAGCCAAAATCCTTGGGCTGAGGCAAACCCTTGAATCAGTGCAAATTGTTAAGCCAGAAAAACAGCAAGAATTCTACCTCCTGTGAGATGGAAAAAGCATCTCAAGAGCTGCAGCCAGCCTCTAAACTCACTCTGATCCTGAACATGTCAGGAAAGCAGCAGTCATTTCCTCCAACAAACAATTCCAATTAAAGACCAATTAAACAGAGTTTCCAATTTACATTCCTAGATTGAAAGGAAGATAGTSCACAGCTAGAAAAGCCTTTACTGATGGTAAACTCAGTCTCAAAATGAAGCCTGACTACAGATGCCAAAATCCCTTGAGTTCCCTCAAAATTCTYTGTGGGAATATGTGCCCAGGTACAGAGTGCACTCCAGGTAAAACTAACAGATGCAGCTCCAGTGGTATAAAGGTTGATTAAAGTAGAAGCAAGTCTAACTCACAAGAAGAATCCCAGGTTGCAAAAGCCYGATGATGAAAGGATCAAAGCTTGACAGTTTTAAGGCTCATAACTTCTCATGCACACTCCACTTTTGCTAGCTCCCTAACTCTCACAATTACAATGTAAATCACAGAAGCATTTCTCTTTAAACCCATCACAAAAAGTCCATTGCATCTGTGACTAACCTTGTCATAGTTACAGAATTTATGCCAAGGCAATTACTTCTCCATCTGCCAACAGATGCAATATAAAAATATGGGATACATCTGCAATCCTCATCGTGAGGGCACCTCCTCATGAACTCCATTCATCWACTAATGAATGTAATGGGGTGGTCTTCTTAGGGGGACCTTCCAATTTCCTACAGTAGGACAGAAGATAGAGACCATGCTCCTTAAAAAATACACAGACTTGTGAGKTAAGAATTTGAGAAATTGTGACATCTAAGAGCAACTGTTACAACTCCATTTCCTAATCACAAATAGTACTGTGCTACTATTTCTGTAGTTTTACTCCAAGGCCTAACAGYGCAAAATGAAAAGCAAAACCCTAGGCTCTCAAAACCTCAATAGATGCTCTGACTATCTCCTCTGGAATTCAAGACTAGGGCTGCCAATGTTCCTGACCTTATACATGGAGAGGGGTGGGTTGCTCATGAACTTATAAAAATACAGGGGAGGAAATCTAATTTTAGACACTGTGGTTTACATAAGGATTTCACATGTAATCAATGATGGAAAAATGCTCTGGCTTGTCCTCTGTCTACAGATAAAAAATCTTTGGTATCAAAGTTCAATGGTGTGAAAATTCTCTATGCCTTAATTTTTTTCATTATTGAAAGAGCCCTTTTAAGCACTGCAATCTCTGAATATAGGTGAGAAAGTGCTGCAAGGCAAACAGTGGCTTTGCTGAGAGGACATTAAACCCTTCTTTGTAAAGGGCATCTTATAAAAGGCAGCCTGAAGGATAACTGGTCCTTTTATGGGACAGGAAAACTCTAATTCAAACCAGCCAAAAAAGAGGGGACACCCAGACCTCATGCCCTTCCTCACAACATCAGCCATTTATTTTAGAAATTCATCCCAGCATTAGACTTTGGAAACACCTACACTAGTAGTTTTCTACTTTTGCCTCAAGGCTTTGAGACCTTTTATCATTCCTGCTCAAACACCCCTGTTGGCTTAGGAAGAAAGGTTCAGGTGTGGTGACACTATGGGGATACACTGCCCAGGCCAGACACTCCCCATTACTTCACCCTGCAATACAGTTTCCCATCCAACATATGCCACAAATGAGCAAATGGAGTTTAGGCTGAGCAGTCAAGTACTCCTCCCAAGCAGCCAGACTAATAAAAMAAACACAAGCACCTTTAACAGTGATGCTAACACACAGCACCTCTGCTCTAAAGAGGACTCGTGGGGAATACAGGAGGGCTCCTTCAWTCCTCTGCTCTGCACTCTGACTGAGAAAGCCCATCTGCATAAATACYCTTCCCATCATGTGAGAATAAACAAAGCTGCTTCTTGTGACCTGGCTTTACTGAAGTCACTAAAACAAAAACCTTTGTATGTTAAGAAAGCTCACAGTGACACTGCTTTGTTACAGTGTTAAAGGCACCAGCAGGAGCAAGGAGTCAGTGCTTTCTGGATTAACCAAGCCAAGAAGCYGCTGCAGTTTCAGCTGTGACCAGCTCAGTGACTCCAAGCAAAGATACACCTGTGGTTATGCAATGCTGGAGAAAATGAAARCCAGCCATTATCCTCTGCCTGACAACTCTGTCATCCATTATTCTCAGCCACCAGTTTAAGCACTTCTTGGCCAAGATCTAAAAATGCATTTAATGCACATTCTTATGAAACAGTCAGTTTAACAACTTAGACCCAAATTATTTTAATTATCGTAAAACTTTAAAAGTTATCATTGGCTTAATTACAGTGATCTGCTTTTCTACAGACTGCAGCACACACATTCAAAACACAGCAAAATATTATTGCTTAAAACTAAACCTCAACTTTCCCAAATGCTCAACACCAATAGCTTCCACTAAAAATGCCAAGTGCTTCCGCATCCAGGAAAATCTGGATGGTCATTATTACAGCCTCTGCTCAGATTGGGTGCAGCACTGCTGTCCTGATCAGGAGACGGAGATGCGAACCACACAGAGCCAGGAGTCTGCACCAGGTACTGAGGTATTTGCATCCTATTGCTGCRGTGTGTGTTGTGCTGGAAAATAAAGGATTCTTCAAGAGGATAGAAACTAGAAACAGACCACTATAAYAGTTAACCACTGTAACTATACCTTTAATGAAAACAACTTTGAGAAACTTGAGGGAAGGCTGACGATCTGGGAAAGCTGAATAAGCTAACTGGGGACGGGGCATTATACGGATCTTACTGCTCCAGATGGCAGACACAGTATGGAGCCTTGCCAGGTAAGATTTTAAAATGTGTTGCTAAACACAACTGGCAAGGATAGAGAACTAAGACTCGATCCAGGGCTGTAACAACAGGGAATACATATCAATTCGGTTTGGACAATCCTGCTGATATCAAGTAAATACTGAAGTTTTGCACTTTGTCAGTAAGCCGACACACACACACTGGAACCAAACCACAAGCTAGACAGGCTAAAACCAAGCTCCATCCACAAAACCTCACAGATTTTCCAACATTGCACTGGTTATATTTTGTTCATGGGAATACGTTTGAAAAGACAGCATGGCTACAAGACTGCATGTACTTTAATTGATCACTAGAGAGTTGGAAGAGATTGTCTTGTAATTTCTAACCAATCTGTAAAGTCAGGGCAGCTTTTCTATAACCAGCAGTTACATTTCCACATTAAGTTACCCACATGTACCGGAGTGAAAATGTATCATTCATTTGCAACAGACTTTTGTATAGCATCTGAGAAAGGTCAGGAGTGTTCTTTGCTTGAGAAGTATTACGATGTACCCATTCCMTTGAGAGTTGGATATTCAACACAGTAGCACTGGTTTCTGTCAAATCAATTACTGCCCAATCTCAGCTTCTTGTGGTCCACTAAAATATATTAACTCAAATGTTACATATTAYATGATCTCTTAACCTCAGAATTCAGCTAAAGAATTGTAAATGTAACCACTAACTGACTTTTAGGCAAATGGCCTTTTGSATATTTACAAATAAAAACTATCTTTCATATTCAGTTAAAGTAAGTATGTAAAAATATTTCACATATAATAACCACTACTTCTGAGCTTAGTATCTCTGCCCAAGAGATCATTGGTTTTAAGTATCTATTGCACTGTCTCTTGCTGGTAAAGTATATTTGATTCGATCAAAACAAAAGAACTGCTTAACTCAAATTGAGCAGAAGTAGTTACAGGATGATGCATCTCAAAGTAAGTGTTTGCACAGTGTAAATATATAAATATGCTTTTYATGAATAAATATTTAAGAAAACTGAACTACAAAGATGACTTTTATATGAACCCCCAAGTGGCTTCAGATGTGAATAACTCCTATTTTGTATTGCATTTTCTGTCTCTATATAATGTATTTGGGTGCTAAATTCATATAATAAAGCTTGCTTTTGAAAATATTTAGAGTTCTGCCTGTGTCAAAGACTGCTGTGGCACATAAGTCAGCATGGGGCAGCKCAAACACCTGGCAMACATCCATCCCACAGGCCCATTTTGTGCGCAAAGTAGAACATGGAATAATCATGCACATGGCAGACTTCTGGCACAGCAAAGGAGATGTAGTCAGATACTTGAACAGCTCCCTGTGTGGGTGATATCTCCTAGGTTCAGCATATTTAAGAAATGCTTAATGCTGTCTAGAGGCAAAAATTCAACTCAGCCTCTGGGAGAGGCAAGRTTTCATGGTGGGGGAAGACAAAGCAGCATATGGACAAACATCCACCCAACCCGTTCCTTCTGCAGCTAGAAGGTGCACAACAAATGAAAAGACAGCAAACAGAGATAAAGTGTCCCCAGCAAAGTCTGAACCTACTGTGACAGCAGGTAGCACCTTAGGCCTGGAGRGAGACTCTCTTCTTCAGAGAATCCCCACTACAACCAATCCAAAGCTGGGATGCCTCCTCCCTCCACAGAGATGTTCACTCAAGTGCTCTCYGCTAAACATCATTTAATCATCTGAGGGACTCTCCAAGTGCTGGAAGGAAGCAGAGATTAAACTTTCTCTGGGAAAGCAGAACATAGTGGGATTGCCAACTGCCACTGGAGTTGTGCAGCTGTTGCTGCACATTACTAAGGAGGAAACTGGAGACTGGATATGTCTATCAATCAAACATTGCAGTTATAAAAGAACACTTCTAAAACACTGCAATTTAAGGGATAATGACTCCATATTAAATATATGCAGGCACTATTGACAAATTCACATATATTACACAGAATTTCATCTTTCATAGCCATGGTCAGGATTAGATAGATAWAGTAGATTTTATCCCCCCAGTAAATCATCTAACCTTTACTTGTTAAAGACAGAGAAAGAGAATTCTGTGAAATGAAGCTGTTGTGACTCYATGTGCAAATTCTCAGAGAAATTAATATTCTTTGTTACTGAGCAAAAAAAAAAAGCTCAATAAACATGGAAGTAAGGGCACTTGAGCAGTTTTCAAAATTAAGGGTTATCCAGTAAAGTAGACCTGATCATACTGAAGCAGATGAGATTTGACTTGGGAGTTAAGGACTTGTGCATTAATAAAATTCCATGGAAGAGTATCTCTTAAGTTTTAGGACCTATCAGGKACACTCTAACGGGCAAGCACTAAAAACACAATTTGTGGCTCTTGATTGTTTAAACTCTGCATTGCAGACAGAATGAATATAAAAGAAGCATGAGACAGAATGAAATAGAGTTCCATTACTAAAGTTGAAAAGCCCTGTATCCAACTTCAGAACTTCACATTGTCAAAATAAGGCCACGTTACTTCTGGTATTCTTTATTAAAAATACTGCTGTACACATGAACAATGAAAACAGGATTAAAGATGAGTAACACATACTGGGATCATGACATTAGAACTTAACATACTGGTGCATTTTAGGGGAAGCAGTTGACACCTGAATTACTGAAACAAGGGCAAATCAAAAATACATAGGTACCCTCAACAAAATATTTACAATATAGTAAATACAGAAACAGAATTTAAAACAGGTACAAAAATTAAAAAGACAAACATCAGATGATTTCAAAGGTTGTCCCTTCTGTGCTTTTAGCTGTAAAAAATAGGAAGGTCAGAAATAAATTTCCCAWCTGGGAGGGCACATCCTGGTGACTCTTCTTTTAAATACACAATTCTTCCTATGAAAGGATCAAACTACAACTTTAGGACAACCTTCTAAATGGAATTAAAATGGGGTAGAAGGGCTCTCCCCAAAAAAAACACCCAAGCTGAACTTCAGACTGTTCAAATCATTCCCAAATRCAGACCAAATAAAATAAATAGAAAACAAAGCTCAACTTTTTTTTTATTTTCATGTATTACCTGACACCAAATATTTTCTGGCTGACATTATATATGAAAACTTATTAGCTGTCTACCTTTTTATTTTTAAACCAAGTCCTGAGGTTACTAGGGGCTGAAGCAAACTGACATTATGCAAATACACACAGGTTTTCAATTTAGACATGTCTTGCAGAGGGTATGCTGGTCTAAAAAGGATGAGAATTCAAGCCCTATTTTACCCCTGCCTTACACTTGCACAAAATATTGGTCCACAAATTAAATTTTCAAAGGTTCCCAAACCCCACAACTGAACAGATGATCCCCTTTCATTTTCAAAGAAAACAATACTGGAAAAAACCTCAGCCCGCTTATAAATTAAGCATTCCATATTTCTTCTAGAATACAAGTACTTCTTTTTTTGTACAAAAGAATTACAATATGATTTGTCAAAAAACATAGAAAAGACAGCTGCTCTTCCTCAAATACATGAGCTAATGATAAAAGACTGTTCTGCATGTTCACTTTTCAAAGTTCCTGTTCCTTTTATATTAAAAAGAACATTCTGGCAACTGTTATCGTTTGAATATTAAACATTATGTTCCTTTTAAAATTGCAACAATAATTGATTTTTAAACTCAACAACTGATGCTACCTAATGTGGATTCAACCACATTTTCTAAAATGTGTAAAGCATGTCCCTAGTCTTCAAAGCTTTCGATGTGAAGAGAATTGCTTTTTTCTTGATGCAAGTCTCAAGGCGGAGAATCATTTTAAAGCTTATAAAAGTGGACAGAGAAATATTAAAAACTTCTCTGAAAACTACAAATATTGAGAATTATTAAAATTGATGTCAGTAACATCAGTTGCAAGTGCTTAGAGTCTGTCCTGACCTTTTGAGTTTCCACATTTTCTTCATGGTGAGCACCCAGTGCTATTAAAACATTCAGTGCTGGGAAAGGATAGATACAGTCTTCACTACTGCTTTAAGAAAGGAAATTCCTACATATTTGGCAGTCTTCAGTATCAAAGTGTAGGTGTTTAACTAGAAATCCCATGAATACCCAAGTTTGGAGACAACTGCATGTCCAAAAATTAGAAAGGTAATTGAGGAGTAAAATTCCAGACTTCTGAGACTGAATTACTTCAGGAATATTCATGTGTTGAGTATTAGCAAAAGTAATATTACTTTGGGCTAAGCAGTGACTGCAAAGGCACAGCAGATCATTATCCCTCCAGATTCAGGCTGTAAAATTCGAAAAGCTCTTGATGCCAGACAACTGCTGTGTTTAGTTAATCTTCTTTTAACAGTGTCTTTGTATCTGTATCCAGTGTAGCGTACCATAATAAAGCTGTGGTTCAAAGAACAGAACTTTATACAAAAATTATACTGTAAATAACCTAAAGTAATACACTCCTGAAACTTCAGGCATTTAAACAATTTCCTTTAAAAAAAAAATCTGTTAAAAAAATTGCATAAATGTAAATGCTTCTGACTACCAGGAAAACGTACAAACAGTTTTTAAAAGGCGCTGGTTGTGTTTAGAGCAAGTTTGATATGCTCCTTAAATTATAGATGTTTCCCATTATGCTGTTTCCGTCACTTCGCTTAGACAAAGTTTAAATCAAATGACAGGGGACTTGCTTTCCTTTTTTGTTAATTCACCAATACTTCACGTGACTGGTTTAAAAAAGTTTTGTCTTCTCATATTTCTTTGAGCTAACAGTGGGTGGCATACAGAGCTTGCATACAACACACTTTTACAGAGGTTACAAACTAAACGGTCATTAATAGAACACAATTTCTATTAAATTATGTACCTGGTCCTTTATGCTATTCTGGGTGCAAATAATATCAAAAATGAATAAATTTTGCTATATCCTCAGGGACAAAAATGTATCCCAGAAATGTCCTTGCAAAGAGTTTCCCTTAAGTATACAATGTGGCAAAACTTCAGAGATCAGAAAAGTCTTAAAAAAATTAAAATTAGTGCATATACAAGTGGAAAAAATAAAAGTAGGAACATCATGCACCTGATGTGTTCCTTAATCTAAAATAAATTCTTCACAGATAAAGCCTCCAATGGCAGCCTTAGCTCTAGGATAAGTGAAACATTCTTCCCTTCAAGTAACAGTGTACCTGACTGAAGTGCAAGCAGCTTTGCTCATCTCCTGTTTGTTTCCCAAATGTGAAATGAGATGACAACAACAATTCAGCTGTAGTGCAATTTGCTATTGGTTAAGTTCCTCAGCAATGTCCTGCATGCTTTCAGCAAATACTACAACTGACCATTTGCGGCTGCAATCAGTTCTTGAAAAGTATTTTCAAAGCAGCGTTTTAAATCGCTGTAAGTTACCACAAGTACACTCTTCTCATCTCTGGAAATGAGGCTTATTTTTTCTGGCACACCAGCATCTAACTGTAACAAGAATGCAAAAGATAAAATAAAAGAAGTGTGAAAGAAATGGCAAAACATTTCCCCAATAACAAAAGCAATCTATTTCTTGGCAAATGCATTGTTATGGTGCAGCTCAGATCTGCTAACAGAACACAAAGGAAAGATCTGAATCGCACCACAACAACATCCTTGCCAAAAATCAAGACATTTTGGTCTTAACCTGATGGACATTCCAGACCTTAGGACTAGATGACCATTGTTTTCTCCCCTTTCCACAAAGCTAATAATCCTGCAATGCTATACTTCCCCTGCATAGATAGTCAGGCAAAATTTTCATGTATCTCCTGAAAAACAAAACTAAATTTGACATTGTATTTGCACATAAGATCTACCAGCCTAAATGTAGGGTCGGCAATTTACTTCTTGTCCACTCTAGAATGAGATAACGGATGGATCAGCTTGAGATAGTCTGAAAACTGGTAGAAACCCCAACGTCACATTTTTTACAGCCCTGAAAACAAACCAGTTCCTATAGTTCCTAAACTGTATGGTACCTTCATCCCATAGAAAGAAAAARTTACTTTTTTTATATCCATATATATTATTAATTATATGGATTATGGATATATCCATAACCAAATGGATAATCTGGGATTGAAGAGCAATGTTTGTCCCACATTTCTTTTCATGGTTTGTTCTGACTTCTTGTTCTATATGTGCTTTACTTTTATGTACCATTAGATCCTAACTTGTAAGAGAGGAATATCCTGCTTTACATGCTGAAACCCCTTACATCACTGTTTCCTATGCTCTTCTCACTTAGTAAGAAGTGTTCATCAATAAAGAACTGTCGGACTCTCATATAATGCAGAACTTCTGTAGTTTTGTTTTAGTCAATATGTTGACACTTCCACCACAGTCTTTCTTATTCCAATACAAAAGGTGGGGCAGAGACAAGTGAGATATGACTATCAATCCAACCTTCATAAATACAACCCCAGCAGTTCAAATATATGTATTATAATGTTATACTGAATAGAAAAACAATTATATTTGTCAGAGATATTCCACTAGCTGCTGTCTGAAGCAGAGAGTTAGMAATTTCTTGCATTTGTCTTCTAAAGAGATGTTTTGAGTGTTACCTTAAAAGCTAGAAYGTCCACAATTTAAAGCTTTGTGAATAGCTTCTGAAGGACAAAAGCAARGCAAATAACTTCTAATTTTTGTAGAATAGGATAAAACCACCAGTGTCTTCCAACATCCATTACAGAATATTAACACTGTGAAGGTGTTTGTGAAATATTGTCCACTGTTCAATTCCATTAGCATCATACAACAAATTAACCTTAATTAATGTAGGACATGGAAGATCTGTATTAAAGTCACATTGCTAACTAGAAACATCAATATTTATGGCTTGCTTTCYCTCCACCTGTGGAGACACAAATCTGTATTCTCAGCCAAAAAGATGCTCAAAACACCACATTGAAGAGAAAGGTTTGTTGTCTTTTTTTAAACAACAGAGTAGCTTTCATTCAAAAAATGCTTCTGGCAAGTAGCAGTAAAGTCCAAATCGCTTCTCCTAGTACTTCCATAGTTTCAGAAGTGCTTTTTAGAGTGTATTTCCAGAGTTCTCTAGGCCTTACATTTTTTTGTGTGATGAGCCCGCAACCACAGAGGAGAAGAGCCTTTGTTTAAAAAGGTAAGCCATGAACACTTACAGAACAAGGTATTCTTTGACATTTTCTCTTACCTGACCTATGAATTCAGGACTGTCCCCTCTTGCTACAGTACTGTATGAGTCACTGCTTTCAAATCATGATGGCATTTCAATGCCTACTTGAATGTCAACATGCTTTCTTTTTGATTTAGCCTCAATCCCTTTAATGTCCTTTTTAAAGTGATTACAGACACCAACCAGAAAGATAAAAAGGAGGTTAAAAAATGCACAGCAGTGGTCTTAYAGGAGGTTAGAAACCCCGACAATTTTAGAAAAAAATGTAACTTTACAGTTATTACATGTCATAGGATCTGAACATATTCCATTTTTTTGGAAGAGAAAGTTGGCTATCCTAATCCTAGAAAAGAAAATATTGGGCACTAAAACTGTATATTGTCAGTGTCTGCATCACCATTTTCTACAGAGAAAGTTAAATTACCAAGCACCTACAAAAACAACAACAAAAAGAAGTAGCAGCATCTTAGTCTACCATGAATTACTGAAGTTTGGCAAAACAATGTAGAGTAAGTTGAAGCTGATCTACCAATAAAAAAATAATCAGCCCAAGTACTTTTTAATTTATAGAGCAAGACAAGTTCATCTACTGAAGATCTTGTGGTCTCTCACACATCTCCTGCTGTTAATCTTGAGAGTGTTCAGATAAAATTTTGCTAGGGGTGCAGCTCTTAGAAAACTGCAAATGACTCTGTTAAGTCAGCCTTGGAAAACAAAGTGCTGGAGAGGCTAGAGAAGTTATTATAGAAGTGGACTTAACATGTTAAGTCACAGAAGTTTACCAGCACGGTCCTAGATAGCAAGGATTTTGCACAAATTTCTCTTGCAGTTTCCCTCCTGTCTCCTACTTTGGTCAGCACAGCTTAGGAGTGGATCTTGCCTTATAACTATCCTTAGTGACAATTACCAGCAGAAACCTCCCCCAGTTAAAGGAGTATTATGGATCCTTTATGCTGTGTTGAAAGACCAGAGTAGCATAAAGGGACCAGCATTGCTTAGCCACAGTAATCAATGCATTCTAGGATAAAAAGTTAATACTGTATCTTATACTATATTAACAAATTTTTCATATTAATGTATTAATTTTATTTAAAATATCCATAARTGTTGGAATAATTAGCTTAGTGAATACATTGTTTTAACCCAAAATGAGGAAAATAACTGCCAGCTACACCATTGGCATCAACCATCCAAGGCCACTTGCTTTGCAGTGGAATACTATTTTAAAGAAAACWAATCCAAACAAATTTGTAAAAGCTAACTGAAGTACAATGTACCTTGTTAAGACATGAGATAATGTGACTGAGGTCAATCCAAGGAGTACCCGCTTCTGTCACCTGGTGGAAAAGGTGATCTCGAAAGAGCTTTAGTAAATACCTGTCTCCAGTTTCTGACCACGTTGGGTCCTTCTGAAACCTGGTATAAAACAAAGGCTCATATTAAAGTCCAGTATGTTAAGAAAATCAAACCCCACAGATATACATGACACTTAAATCTCTGAGTGGTCTTATTGCATCACTAAGCTGCCTGTTATAAATTGCAATTWAATTAGTCTTCCCCCTACCACAAACAGAAGACAACACTCTAACTTTCCCAGATGTTAAAGGCCTTCCAAGAGCCACAGAAAAATAATTGAAGAAAGCAAGAATAATCTGCAACAAGTTTAACATCTAAATGTTAGAAACTTGCATTATAGACATAATTCTAAGTCTATGAAAAAGGATGGAAAACAGACCATGAACTTCATTTTGATATAGGTATTCAATAAAAAAACCCAACTTAAAACTAGTATCTACACCCTTTGCTTCAGTCAAAGCAAGCTATGGATTTCCTCAAAAACTAMTGCCACTCACAAGAGACTGCTAAGAGAAACCATACTAAATAATATGAAGCAACATTGGCATATCTATCTGTAGCCTTCTCCTCTCCATTTAAAGTTTTGGTCAAAGTTSGTTATCTAATTTTTCTCAAGACTTCTTAAACACTCATTTCTCTAGGGGAAAATATTGGGGAAAATGTTTGGCTTAAATTTATGAGGGAAGAAACAGTACATTGCAAACTGGGTTTTACATAAACCACAAAAACAAGTATTTCTTACTCTGGCCTCTCATTGATTGTTCCCAATTTTGCTAGGAGCCTAAACAACCTTCCATTTTGCACCTCCTAGAAAACAACAAAAACATTATTAAGAGCTTCTGAAACAAAATTAAGACATTTACTTGCAAAAGATACATGGTAATAATGCCAATGAAGCACTATTAATTAAAAAGACTTATTCAAAGAAGGTGCAATTTTTTCAGAGATCAAATACATTGGATTATGTATCAGTAGTCCAATGCTCATTGTAGCACTTAAATTACAATGAAGATTCAACAACTAATGATACCTTGCTGCCCCAGCAGGAACTGGATCAGGCAATCTATTTCATAGTGGAAATGTAAGTCTAGTCTCTTGCCAGCCTACATTTACAGATATAGTAAAATATAGTAAGCTAAACAAGAAAAATATGGGGTTTTATATACATACATAAATACATAGTTACCAAGATATGCATAAGTATGCAGTACACCACCTCATTTCAGGTAAAAATGAGAAGAAACAATCTACCAGATTCTTTTTTCAGAAATGCTTTGTAGGCCATTAACAGTAAAAATCTAGTAACAATATAATTAGACTAATACTCAAATGATAATTGATTGCAAAAATAATTTTGAAACAAGTTTTTACAAAAGTTAGAATCCAAGTCTTAAAAGAGTGTAAATGCTGAGTCCACAAATGACAGAAAACAAGCAATGACAATGACGTCACACAGAACATTAGAAYTGCAGATGCTCAGAATACATGCAACTGAAAGTTGATTCAGTATGTTTTTCCACATGACTTAGGATGTAGTAGAAACAGTTGCATCCTTGCCTACATTAAACAAAAAAATAAAAGTTGTCAGGAAGAGATTCTCTCCTGATATTAGTCACATTCTCCAATGGCCCAGCTCTACAACGTTATTTATGCCAGGATGCATCTCATTCCATGCATGATTATATTGATTTCAAATAAATTCAGTCTGGTGTAGATTACTGTGCACAACTGGGTAAATAAAGGAGGTCAAGGTGATAACATCTTGACCTCAGACAACCTATGGGATGCAGACTTCTATTAACAGACTCATGAACAGCTTGTATTACAGCAGTAGCTACACTTAAAGAGACTGACATGGAAAACCTACCTTGTCCAGACAGCCAAGGTCTACTATTTGGCCTAAACGCCAAACAATTTTTCGATATGCAGTCAAATATACAAAAGCCAGAATCATATCTGTGTGAAGGTCATTGCCTTGCAGATTTCCAGTCAATGGTGACACAGCTGAGCAACAGCAYTGGCACTAAATCTCCAGGTGGCCTCTCTGCAGGCTTAGAAGCCTGTAAGGAGGGAGATATTCTCCACAGGGCTTGGATAAACTAAGGCTTTGACTACTACAACATGGATATTAATGGAAAGGTGAGGAAGGAAAGAGATAGCATGACATGGTCACTCCTCTGYGAAATGTGAGAATCACAAGCTTGTTACAAGATTTCATGGCTTCATGAAAACAAATTCACTACATACAAACCACTCCCAGCATCAGAAGTCCCTAAGCTTGGACAATACGAGAAAACAAACAAACAAAAAAAAAACCCTATCACACATGATAAGTCTTTTTCTAATACTCCCTCCAAAGCATCAGTTTTGGGACAATAACGAAGAGAGGGCACCAGACTGGACTTAGGGGACACTGTAGCTCTGATGTTAATGGAGGGGATGTGATAATACAAACGAACTACATGATGACAGCTAATTAAAAAGTGGTATTTATCACTGCCAGGTAAACAGCTTTTGCCAGACTGGTGGGTAAGCAACGACTTGGATTTGTAGTAGCCCTACCCACCTGCCAGTGATAAGCAACTGCTACAAACAACCTGACTAAAAAATATAAATCTTAAWGCTGATCACAGTGCAATCTCCATCTTTGCTATGGGAAAGAGTCCATCTGCCCAGCTTTTTGCAGGCACATAGGCTACCTTAGCAATAAATGATACTAAACACCTCTGGAATAGGATTAGTGGTTGATTCTGACACAGTGGGCACGCAGCACCTAGAGGTACATGGATACTGCTCTTCTATAGCTCTTTGCTTCTGATAGATTTCAGCATCTTTCATTAAGGAGGGAAAAAAAGTTCTTCAACAATTGAACGGTGGAGAAATCAAGARAACCAACTCCATCAGAATCCCAACCACAGGTCTACTTGTCTCTTAAAAAGTTCTCAGGGGTTATATTAGAGTGGAATCACAGGAATTGATTACATACTTAGATAATATACTATCCCACACACAGGGCTATGAAAGCCCTGTATTCCATAATGTATCGCAGTCCTGGTAAAAATTCTGCTGTCAGCGGCTTCTGACTAACAGTCATCATGTCCTGTTGAACAAATACACTCCAACTTGATACAAAGCACATATTTCCTTTATAGCTAGCACTTGATACCTTGACTGAACACCACAGACTAACCACTCACAGCAAAAGTGCACACTTCAGGAAAGCTGAACACAGTATTGTCGTGAATTAGAATTCATTTGGAAAGGAAAACATGTGAGAGAAGTAAAGGGACACAAAAATCCAAACCTAAAATTTTAAGGGGCAACATTTGTTGCTGTATAATCTTTAGCACATGTTACATGACCTACGTAATATATGCCATGATGTACTTGATGTACATAGACCTAATTATTCAGAATGCTATAAAGAACTTAATTTCCCTATGACTGCTGGTAGGAAATGAAGATGTCACTTCAGTTAAAACACAGATGAGAACATCTTAAAACTAGGCATTCCTGAAGCTTTAGGGCTTTCAAAAGCTTGAGCTTAGAGCTGTCRAGCCTTCAGGCAGGTTATTTAGGCTAATCATAAACAGAAGTAAAAAAAACCAAAAAACAGAAAGCATTAGAAAACATTCTCTTGTAAGAATATTGGCTACAGAGCTTTCCACAGGAATTACTACATGATTTACCTTTGCTAGGTCTTCTTCTATAACATCATTTCGCATCTGAGCAGCATCCAACTGAGTGTAGAATCGTGCACCAATCATAGGCATGATATCATTTACACTGCGAAGCCTGTTTTGGTCAGTCAGCAAATACCTGCCAAAATAATCCAACCCTCAAAAGATTACATTCTGCAAATGCCATAGATTATATACCATTATGATTTTATAACTATTTGACTTTTTTTTTATTTAATCCACCAAGTTGACTATTGTGGTGTTTCTTAAAAGATCTCATCAGAGAAAACATACATTAACTTACATGTATACATTGAGCCAGTTATTTAAACAAGACATGAGTATACATTCACAAAACTGTACAATTCACCCCACTCAAGCAGCAAGAACATAAACAAAARGAGAGAAGGCATGCAGACTCAGATTGTAATGCAATTGTTTGTCAAATAGAGAAGGAGCAAAGACTTCTACTTCTCCCACTCAGGCTGCTAGGGCAAAAAGGCTGATTGTACTGAMACTAAACAAAAATGCAGCCAGGAAAAAATAGCACTAAAACTTTTGGCCAAAAAGGCMATGTGCCTATTTCTCAATACTTTCTGAAACTAAAGAAGACTAGGACATTTTTATTGTAGAGAAGAAGCAATGAAGCCTGGTATTGAAGACAACTTCAAATGCTTGTTGTGTTTACACTCCTAACTCTTACTAGGAGTTTTACCAGCATTATACAAAAAAAAAAAAAAATTACCAATGTTCAGTGCACTGACAATGCAAACAACTCAACAACAGTAGATTCATCTGTAATCTTACTTGCATCTAAAAAATACTATTTGATGTTTGCATTTGTGTATGTTAAAAAAGCAGCAATTTCCTTTAGAAGATTTATTAAACAAACTTACAAAATCAGATTCTTCAGATCAGAGGAATAGTTGATTGTCACCAGTTCCATTGCTTTCTGCAAATTCTCTCTCTGAATTCCTGATAAAGAATTGCAAGCCAAAGCCAACACAACTTTCCCCARGGAGATCAGATCTGCTTGCTAATAGGGAAAACACACACAGGTAAGATTCTTAGTATAGATAAATACTACCTGTGGTACTAGATGGTGTTAAAAAGAGACAGTTCTTCAGTAACCTCAGAAGACTTTGAGCAACTGAAGTAAGTAGCATTCATTGTTCAAGTTASAGTAGTTAAAATGTACAGAGGAAAATCTGTCCTGACACCTAGCAATTTTTAGGTATTATATTTATCTTAATTATTAAAATTTACCTATTTTTAGCTTAAGGACAGTACCGGAGATAACTGTGTAGTGAGTAAAAGCTCTGTAATGAGGTTCYGTGAACCACCCACCTGCTCGATCCTGACAAGTCAAGGAGTTGGTGGCAAATAGWGCAAGTCTTCTCAATTTGAGACGTAGCAAGTCTCAATTTGTTAAATTGAAACCAGCATTTGCTGGATTAGTATCTTCCCAAACTAGCCATCCAGTGTGAATTCCATACTGGAATCCACACCACATTCCAGCACATGATAGTACCACTTTAACAAATTGCTCAAATATTTTTATCTCTGATGGCCATGTGAARAGAACTGAACTGTGTAAAAAAACTACACAGGCTGTAGTTTATGGCTGAGCAGCATCATGTAGAATGAAGAAACCTTTGCATTACTAAACACTTTTGTTAAAAGCAGAACTGCTCTTAAGAAATGAATGCTGAGTAAAGCCTGCTTTGCCGTAACAGAAAATTCTGCCAGTATTAATTAGCCAGCCATGAAAATAGATTTTGAAAAGCTGTAACAGATATTAAAGTCCACTGCTACAAGCAAGAGCCTAATTTAGTAGCAAACAATAACATTCATAGGAAAAGCTGAACTGATTCTTTCCATGGAAAGGCTTTCAATTGCACACAGCTTGGCCAAACTTGGAACACCTGAAGCTTTCCATGCTGGATACACGCTTCAGAGTGAATTTAACAGTCAGCTAGAGATACAAAGTTAGAATTTTCCTGAGGGTTTTTTTTTTTTTTTTTTGAGAAAATAAGACATTTTCACAAAACTAAAAGCATAAAAGTTACTAACAATTGAGAATGTTGGCTCCATAGGCTAGAGCAAGGCCAAGCCACTTAGCAGAGAATGCAGTCCTATGAAGAAATCCACCTTCTGTCATTTCTGTAAGAAAGGCTGAAAATCTGGCAACACTGCGACATTAAAAGTTGTGGTCAGAATCTGGCAGCTTTAAAAAAGTGCTGTGAAGGTGAACATGCCACAGCCCCTCACAGCTTTTCCACCCAGAGGTGTAACCACACTTGATGCCTTTGGCAGCAGTAGCTGAGCAGAGCTTTCCCTGAAGCCGTATCTCCCAGGTGCTGAGGGACAGGGAAAACTGMCAAACCTTTCCAAGTCTCTCAAAGTCACTGCTGTTCCAATATAAAGTATGATTAAGCAGCACAATTTGAACATGGATACACAGTATCTCAGAAATTAAAAAGCATATTATWCTTGTAGCTAATGAAGACAGAAACAGGACATGGAAAGTGAGACAGAAATAAGGACACAGTGGTTGATAAGGAGGTGGGACTGGCATTTGCTAGTCTATTCCTAAGCAACAAAGGGGTTTCTGAGTATCAGCATTCCTTTTTCCATTGGTAAAGAGAAATTAATCAGGGCAATAAAACCCTCTTTTCGTGTGAACTCGCTTCTACTACCAAGTAGCGTACTTCAGCAACAGAGAACAACTACCAACTTCAGCAGCAGAGAACACTGCTATAGTTCTATACAGAGGATTGTTGCTGGTAAGTATCTAGAGATGTGTGTCACCTGAGACAACGGCTTTTTCACTATGATTTTTTTCTCCAAAAAGACTTGGAAGAAATATGTATTTGTAATAACCATAGTCTTACTTCTTTCTGCAGTCCCCTACTTTACACTTAGTACCTTTCAACTTTTAGTACTTCATAAGGATGTATCCTATATAAATCCTCTATCATCACACAACCCTGTGACACTGAAAATACACAACTTCAGGCAAGACCCTATGAAAATGTGGACTTCCTTTGCACAGGTGCTTTCATAATACAGATTGCATTAGATTTTAAAAATGGTTGGGGGTCTTACATGTAACGTAAGACAGGAAATTCTAAATTCAAACTTTGGGATTTTGAGCCTTTAATTTTTTGCTTGTTTTGCAAATTACATCTACCAGAAGAACTGGCAGAGAGGACACAAYACCCCAGTGCAGCCTCAAACACACAGTTTTTTAATTACAGCTAATAATTAGCTGGTTTTGGGTACAAAAGTGGCTTGGAATCATCCCACTTATTTTAGGAACTTCAAGCATTTAGTCAGGAGTCTGATCGATTTCAGATACATCTSTAAATCCATAAGACATTCAGATTTGGAGCCAGCTAAACTGCTCTCTGGAGGCTCTTCACCATTCACTGACAGCTGAAGCCCTGAAAGAAACTATTACCACAATATCCAATGTTTGCAGTTTTTACAAGTGCACAAAGACAGGCAGTATTTTTCCTGTGTGACCGGAGAATCACAATCTCTAGCTGGAAAGATAAAGTTCAGGATTTCTGAGAGTCAGATTACAGTTTGAGAAGCAACTAAATTACCATCTGCTGACCAACTCTATCCATTCAGACAGGGTACACAACTTCCCAATAGGTGGGTTACACCATTCTTTCTGTAAGGAAGCAAGCCATCCACACATGCCTTTTAAGTCCTAAACTCTCCTCAGAAAATATCAGCAGATTCAGCTCTTACTGCTTCTTGGCAGAGAAATATTAAAGAAAGCACACAAAAACTACTAGACTTCCTTGGAGCAGGAATACTAGAAATATATACTGCATTCCAGTAGCAGCCTGGCTAGTGCAATGTACAGATCAATAATAGGTACAATCATGTCCCCGTTTATACTCCCTGTTGTACTTTGCATGACACTGGTTCATTTTGCCACAGATCTAACAGAAAATTTCAGCTATGGCAACTACCAGCAATGACGATGAAGTCATACTAAGTTGATACTTAACTTCAAGGAAAAGCTTTACGAAGCCTTCTAAGTACACCCAGCCTTCTGTTCAAAAACGCACCTTGCATGTATCTAGTAACCATTTAATTAGTAATTCGATTCATAACTGTAACCTGTACCAACTTCATCTTTTTTCTCTTGAAAGCTTTGCTAGTAAAGATTTTATCACTATTTAGTTCATTGATATATCTATTAAACAGCATTACAGTAAAAAACAGCCCTAGGAGRTAAACGCAGAAACAGCCCCCTTCATTAATGTCTCCCTGTTACCAAGTGAATTTCAGGTATATCAAGTTAGCAATTTAAAGGTTAATTGCATAGGTTCCCATTCTTAATTGCTTTTATATTGAATAGGTGTGTGCTGCAATGCCAAATGCCACAGAGATACCTCAACATTTTATACCCTCGATTTTACCAGCCAGACATGCAAGCTATTCAAATAAAACTTATTTTTGACAGAATCCGTTTTCCAGAAACTCTTTGAAACCAAAATTACTTTCTCTTTTGTTTATCCTGTTCCACTGCTATGCTTGGTTCAGTATCGGCTCATCCACACTCCAGTTCTGTGGATTCATTTACCCTTTTAAGATCTGGAATTGCCCTCCAAGTTCTTACTTTTTGGTGGTTTTTTTTCAGATTTAATATTAACACTTGATATGCCTCTTCAAACTAGTTGYTTTAAATTTGGGGAGGTGCATGTGAAAGGTATTTTGGTTTGCTAAATTGAAAATATTTACTTTAAGCAAAAGTAACTTTATAGCCTTTGCCARAACAGTAAAACTCACATTCTTATTTTTGTTAAGGGGAGGATTTATATTCAAATACAGAAATATTTATTAAACCTTTTAATTGTGTCCTATAACACCATTTMGTTTTCCCATCTGTACCTTGCAACTGACACAAGACTTATGGATGGGGGGAAGGCAGAAAGTGGTGTGCTGCAATTTATACAGGTTTAACCCCTGGTTTTTAATGCAAGTGGCCATTCATGTTTCATTTACTTCTTTTTAGCTTCCCTCATTGCTGCCTTTATGTAACTCTTAAATGATCATAGAGCTTAATGTGTTTAAGACAGATTGTAAATAACAATTGCATTCCTTTTACATAGTCCCTTCCTGGTTTGGCCAAAATCTCTCTCTATATATATGATACATGTGAATTAGCCAGAAATGGCAAATCCTAACAAAAATACATTTCTCCATTGAAGACAACAAGAAGGAAATGCGTATTAGCTGGGCAATAAACCAAGAAATAACCTACGTTTTTAATAGTAACAGGAGTCCCAGAGGAATTCAGGAACTAGGTCAYGGATTGAGAGGAAAAAGGACAAGCAGCAGCTGTTATTTTGTAATTTTATCTGGCTAGGGCAAACAAAGGTAGACCATAAGAAATGACTCCTGATTTTCCAGGAATGAACTCACTCCAGCATCTCTGAAGGAAGAAAATGGGCAGTGAAAGCCTAGCCCTTCTAGAAAAAGCAGCAAAAGAAAATGCCATACTGTATTTACTAATTGCAGTTAAGATCTTCCAAATTATGTATTTAAGAGTACTTCTTTTCTGGCTTCTGAACAATTTGAATATTGTCAATGTATAAAACATAAAAAGCCATTCCCTCTAAACGAAACCAGGCATTATCAAGCAAGTCAGCTGCCAAGTGTTGGGCTGCTATAGGGGTAAATACTTTCAACAGATTTGTGTACCTCCAGGTATTTTTAGRTTTGTATCTCCAAGTATTTTAAACGCTTTGCTTTACTTGAATGTCACAGTATCTCAGGAGGATCCCTTTCCAAGCTGCAATTAAAATAGAGAAGTACTTAGATTTAAAAAAAAACCTCATTACATTTTTAGGCATGGAATCCCTTACTTACAAGTATTTTCATCTTCTCTCAGCTGTTTTCYACTAAATTATTTCCAAAAGCCCACTGATATGTAGCTGGGCGTGTGTGTGAGAGCATGAAATCCTTTGGTGTATCACACAAAGTACACTGAAAACTGCTTTACTGTATCATTTAAAAAAAAAAAAAAGTTGTGTTCTAGGACACAGTCTCCAACAAGCTAGTTTCTGCTGGTCAAAATACAAACATTTCAGTTATTACTTGAAGACTTTGAATGAGCAGTTTTCTCACAGTGAATTAGCTCAGTTAATGAAAATGAATTAAAACCTACTCTCTACTGTAGTCTTCCACTCCCAGTACAGACAGGGTATGCGATGACTGCTGAAGTAAAGTACTTTACCCTGAGAGGAAGTTAGGGAAAGAGGCACTCCTGTACACAGTGATGCTCCAGATGACTGTGGAACAGTTTTTTTAAGTCTAAAGGGGTTCTTCTTAATTCAGGAATTATGCAGAATCTGCACTTCAGAGAACATCAGGAGAGCACAGAAAACTAGGAGCCCAAAATAAARATACACTAGAATCCTTTTGGTGTAAGGAGAGGGCCTAAATGCAGTTAATTGAAAGATCTCTTACTCCTCTCTGAACAGGTATTCAACACTTATTTATGCTAAAATCACAAAAGACAGAGCAAAAACTATWACTGAATGATTATTCTTTATCTTCAGCACTAAACATAAGATTTTTCTTCTCCTTTGTATAGAAATTCCTGTTTCAATTTCTAAGTTTGTTAAGTTCAGTAAGCTTGTTGAAATTTTAGATGCAGAAGATATCAAAAAGAGCATTCACATTTCTAAATTACAAGAAAACTTGAATTATGTATAGCAGAATCAAGATCAAATCAGGAATGAAAAAATATAGTCACTTACAGATAGTTATACTGGACTACAGTTTAATTAAAGTAYTTGTCTTCCAAAAAGAATCACACTGGTTTGCAGTAGTCCATTTGCCAAGCCACCAACCTAACTGTGGCATTGCTGTCTTACCTGAAACTGAGCCATTAATGCTAGAGGATTATTTTGACTGTTGTCAAATGTCAAAACATCAAAGATTCCAACACAATTAACTCGTAACCTTTAGRAACAAGAAGAGAAAAAGAAAGAATTGCCATTAAACTTCAGGGGTTACTCRATTTTTCCTCTAGCATTCACTGAATAGTTTGATATGATAAAAAAGTCATCAGTACTTAGCAAATTACTATGCAGCAGAAAAAAACCTGATTTTACTGTTTGATAAAATGCACAGACGGTATTCAGTTTCCAAATAAATCAACAAATTTCTAAACTGACAGTAGTGGGTCCGATCTGTAATTTGAGGATAATGCGTAAGTCTTCCCAAAATATGTTTCAAAAGACCTTTAAAAAAMCAAAATTACAAGCTTTAGAACGCTGGCCTCCTGCCACTTAAGAAAACTTAGTAGCTATGCATGTATCAGGTGCACAGTCAGCAGCTGCTATGAACACAGAGCACAATGACACTGAGACTGAATGCTTCCATTACCTTGTTTTGCCCGTTACCAGAATCTTTGTTGGATCCATAACTCTGCACGCTAGTCCTGCTGTGTGAATGGTCCGTAAGGCAGAGCTGAGCTGCACAATATATGCCCATATCAAAGACTCTGGAAGCAATCCTGCATGCTGCCGTGGCAGAGGTCCGTCATGCTGACCTAGAATCGAAAGATTGTAAGCATCAATAGAGCTGCTGCACAAAAAGCAAATTACATCCTGAATTATACAATTAACTCACACATTCATTTCATTTAACGCTTAATAGTCCTTGAAAGGCACATCTACCATGCTTTAAAGGTGATTCTGGGAGTAAATTTTTCTTCACTGGCTGTTTTCMGTTGCGTTTTTTTTAATTGAATGTTTTGAATTGAATATTGCCAATTCATTAGGCATTATTATTATTTTCACTCTCATATTCAGAGAAACCATGTTGTATTTTAAAGTTTAGAACAAGCACTGGCTGGAAATTGCTCAAAGCAGATGGTACATCAAAATATGCAGCTACTTCAGAAGTAAAACCACCAAYATCCTGAAACAAAGAGTATGTACTGCAATAACTGCAACAGATCCCACTTTACCTCTTTTATTGCAAGAAGGAATCCCAATTAAACATTTTCTATCATCTGATAAAAATAAAGTAACAAGCTAATTTCAAACTAAAAGATAACAAGCTGATTTTAAACTACATAGGCAAATCAGACAAACATTTGGTGGCTAAAATTCACTGAACACAACTTCACATRTGTTCTGTTGCGATAGCTCCCTGATGAATCATCACTGCATGACCACTGTTCAGTGGATCATAGRAAATCAATGCATCACTCCCTGTCCAAATAGGACAGGGATTTGTAGGTCTCCTTTCAAGAATAAAACTCAATCTTTGCAAACACACACTCAAATCCTACATTGCAAACAGTTTTTAAGTAACACTGAGCCACAAATTAAGAAATGAAGATACAGATAACAAATGCTAYTTTTTAGCATGATGTGTGTACTTCAAAGAACCTTGCACAAATTTGAAGAATACAACCAGAGTAAGACAGTACAACTCAATTTTACAAACCACAATAGACATTTCAAGAGGTTGCCTTAGTATTGATTTTGCTGACTTTGAGACCAGTAAAATCATCAGTATTAAGTAGAACTATATAAACAGGTGATTTAGTTTCACTGAAAATTGAACTCTTCTCTAAACATTTTTTGTTTGTTTGGGTTTTGGAGGGGGTGTTCGTTTTTGGTAGTCTTCCTGTTTTTTGGTTTTGGGTTTTTTTCCCCCCTTTTCTTATAGGACCATATCAACATCGGGCATTTGATTGAAATAAGTGTGTGTAACCTTGCATGTGTACACGTGTAAAGCATATGCAGAGTTTAAAGAAGTGGGACACATTACTGATAATTCTTTACTTGGAAGTTTTACTGATTTGGAGGTGATGGGCTGGGAATGTTCTCAGCTTTCATTTCTGAGCTTTGCTTTGTCCATTTTTAAGTTAAAGGTGCTTTGGTTTAGATTGTGAAGATCAAGACGCTGACTCTTTTAAAAAGCAGCAAGCCTGGTATGTCTACTGAAAGCTGAATATAATGAGATATCAGAAAAACAAACAATATCCTGATGAATCATTATGCAAATCACTTCCCACAAAACTAGAATTGCTTCCCAGCATACCAGAAGTCTCATGTAGCAAACTTTTTCCCTCATAGCTCTCCCTTCTTCAGCATGACAAAAATGATAATATAAAATTACTGAGATGATATAACCTCCTGTATTAGCCAAGACTCTCTCTATACTACTTGCTGTAGAATGCACTTTATATTTGGTGAACAGCAACATGTCTAGTAAGTCTAACAGAAATRTGAATGGATACTGTAACATACAGTTACATCTGTATCACATAAATCCAGAACAGAAACTTTGTTATAATATCCCTTTGTTGTAACATCCCAATTAAACTTTGTTATAATATTTACRAAGAGAGCAAAAAGCCAAAACTTGGGAGTCGTTTCTCTGCAGGCATAACCACAYACCCTTTGATTTTTCAAATTAAAACAATGTAACCAAAAGAATATCCAATACAAACTGAAAGACCAGAGTTCAACACAGCTTCTCCTCATCTATYAGAAAATCTCAAGCAACATTATTTCACTACAGGAAAAACTCACTTGAGGCTACAACCAAATCTAATCTCCTGCTTTCACGCCAGGTGGTTGCACCCCACATTCCCATACACTAAATGTACAAGCTAAAACACAGGAAGAATCAGTTTTGAAATGCCCTCTTACATATCTAKCTGCTCAAAATAAGATTAAAAGCAGCTCAGTTTGCTGCAATGCTATGATGTATGTCCTAAGAGGCCCATCAGACCTGCCACAGATAGCACTTGAGCAAGGACCCAAGCTTRCTTTTCAAGAGAAACACACAGTTGGAAACCTTTCCAAACAGYGCTGAACACAATGAAAAACACCACAAAAATATAAGTAAACATCACCAAAATGATCATAGCATTACTTGAAAAAACAGTATTTTAGAGGTTCCCTGGTTGTTTTGCAAAGACTTCCTACCACAGGTTGAATCCRCAGCTGTAACAAACAAAATTTCAGACTGTGTTCACCCCACATATTGCAGGGCAAACTCACCTCCTCCAATAGTTTAATCTCTGAGATGTAGAGCACAGACACTAATGGAAAAGATTAAAAATTTAAAACCTGCCATTTCAAAAACACAGGTTATGCATTACTTTTCCTTGCCACATTAGGATAAACATAAATAAATAAAAATCCTGACAATTATTTTTAAGTTCTGTGGTACGCTGCTCTCAACAGACTAGAAAAATAACCCTTTGCASTGCTCTCCATGTGTATATTAAGTTTTTGCTTGCTAAAAAAAGCATTCAAATGAAATCCTGTTCTCCAGAGCAAGTATAAATCAAAGAATAGTCCTGGAGTGGGAAGGAAGACCAGGAACACCAACAGTAGGACCTGTTTCATATCATCAGGAACACTGTCAAAGCATGCTAAGAAACAATTCTCATACAGTTATGAAGGAGAAAAAAAAGCCAAATTAAAGATTTAGCTGTTTACCAAATTGAACCTCCCAGGCTTGTAAATCAGTCTTTCACATTGAGAAGTGGGAATTGTTCAGTGTTTACTTGGTGTTCCTGAGTTAAAGTACTGAACACGAGAAAAATGCAGTAGCCTTCATTTCTCCTTCAGGAAAACTCMGGTTTTGGTTTTGTATTTCCCAGTTTTCAATACACAGAAAAGTTCTGAACTACTATAGGGCAGCAGTATATTTTGTAAAAAATCAGAAGCTACTGAAAACTTGAACTTATTTTGGAAAAATAAGTTATTTTGCAGATTTTGGCAAAGGTATTTTAGGATAATTATTATTCACAAATTTTGTCTTGATAAACATCATGCTGACTTCCAATGTTCAYACATTCTTACTCCTCATCATAGTCTATTCAACTAGTAAACACAACTTATTTCTTTTTCAATGGAAGGGGTATTTTACGAAAAAAATATTCAGCACGCGGGAATGCAAAAAACGYAAAGTCAGCAGTGAAGTCTATTTTTGTGCATTACATACTACTATTAATGTGTCAAAAAGCAAGCAAGTTTCCCATACCGTGTTTATCTTCATTAGGAAGTATTTGTTTGCTGAAGAGCAGAGACTGTGCTGCTGAAAACTCCTAGCATCATATGCATCAACATTTAATTACTCAGATTGTTTCAAAGCAGACCAAAGGACATATCAAGAGCATGCTTATCTCTGCCAAGCACAAAAACTAATCAGTACAAACCTTTCTAGTAGCTGTCTATAGATACTGATAATTTACCAGCGTTTTTGGCTGTTAAGTTTTAAAGTACATACATTCAGAATTTGGTTTACTATTCAATTATTGGACTGTTAAGAGCAACATTTCAGTACTTTTGGGTAAACTTACAAATGCAAAGAGAACATAATTTCTGTACAGATAAATGCACTAATATGTACTATAATCTGAAGCTAAGAAATAACAGAAAGGTGGAAGAAAACTAAAAAGTTACAGAACAAATTTAATGTCTAGAGTATGAAGAAGCATTCTGAGGAAATATAAGCAGTGAGAATAAAATAAAATAAAAAGAAACTTTTTCAATAAATGTACTTTGAGTAGAAATTAACTGAAAATTCAGATTCTTGATTTTAAAATTTGTGCAAATTTAGTAAAACATGACAGAACAATGTTGGACTATCAAACTGTGCCACTTGAAGGAAGAGGAGATACCACTAAATAAAGAACACAAGCAACAAATTCTGCTGCATTCGTAAGTTACAGAGACATTAGTTTAAAGTATAAAAATAAATGTAAGCTGCTATTTTTATTCCCCACACCAAATCTCTTCCATGGTAGCTCTGTAACAGGGTCTGTAAATAAACATGGCAAGAAGAAAACACCCAAGACTGACCACATTGACACCAGTGACATGCAAGACAGCATGTAAACCATAATCCTCATCTTTTAACTATCAAGATCTCATGTTGCCAACTGAAGTGTTCAACATAAATAGGATTGCATACCTGAAATCAAATACTCTGAGTTCACTGATCAGGTTCACAGTGTTGTGCCTCCTAAAACCTTTAAAAGCAATTGTACTAATCTGGGCCTCATGCTGCAGAGTACCCAACTTCCATCCATTCCCCTGCTTCTCTTGGGAGTCTCCTCTAGGCAGGCAGACGGCCAAGAAACTCTGTGAGGGGATGGAGAAATGATCTGTGAAGGCAGGCAATTCTGAGAAATCAAGTTATAGGTATGCAATCTTATTTTTCTCTCTTAAATTGCTCCTTTTGTGAGGACCAGACTAGAAAGCAGCAGGTATCAGAAAAAGAAAAAAAATTTAAAAAAGCCAAAGCAAAGATATGCAGAAAGATTTGGTAAAATTTAGGAATTCAGGTAACTTGTTGCTGAATATATCTATTAAAAAAAGACTGAAAGAGCAGGTAAGAAGTGCCACAGTCAGGAGACAGTCATCTTCCCTGCATAGATGTGTAAGTTCTGTTGCAATAGCTCATTTTAATTATATAATACTTCGGTTTGAAAAGACATTGAGGTCTTATTTCCAACTTCTCAGATTATTCCTGCTTATAAAAGAAAACTGAAGTAGGCCAAATAAAGGTTCCAGACAGCCCACAAGTTTGTTTCAAGGACACAAACACTAAAATCAGCTTGCAATGAATACTGAAGTGTATAAAGGCAAATGAGTAGAGCATTCTATTTGCCTCCAATGATTTGCGGCCCAGAGGCAGATATCATGTCTTCGCAGTCCCCAAATATTTCTCCTTAATGAGTAAGCCCACTTCCCCCTTGCATCTAGACAAATGTTCACTATAATCTGTTAAAGTTCCATGTCTTAATTATCTTTACACAGGTTTTGATTTGCTACCAGCCTAGTTTCATTAGTCAGTCTTTAGTTTTAGACTGAAAGAAATAGCAAACTACTGTTATTGTTTTTCTCTTTATTCCAGATTATTCTTGTGGCACCTAATATATTCCAGTCATTTTTAACCCCACTATATTCCTTTCCGTCTTGAAAAGCATGAAAAGCACTAGTCTACTTTTCTGTTCTTCATCCAGCTGTTCCACATCTTTCACCATCCTTGTCACCTCTTTGCAACTTCTTTGCTGCTCTTCTACACCCCTCAAAGTGCACGAGGAGGACCGTAACTACAGACAGGAGTCTATCAGACACACACATCTTAAATACAAATTCTTCCACTTCATTGCTCTTTTCTTAATAAGCTACAATATTCTATTTCCTATTTACTGCTATTTGGCAAGAGGACAGTATTGTCCTTCATTGACTTGACTATGGTCCCAGATCTATTACTGAGGGGCAACAGTTACAACAAAGGCCACCATTTTATGTTTAAAACTAGAGTTACATCTTTCCCTTGATCACATTGGTCTACATTACATCACCTACTTCATTATTGGTAGGAATTCCAATCTTGTAAGATCCTTCTGCAATCAATCACAATTGGCCTTTGCTTTTAACAATCCAAATAATTTGGTATTACCAGCAACCTTTGACAGACCATTTATCTTCAGTGCAAGCAAGTGTATATGTTAAGAAAAAAACTTCTAGGATCTCTTCTTGCGAGACCCCATCATCTTCACTGTTCGCTCTGTTTCCAATATTCTAAACAGGCATTAACCTGAGAACTTTCTCTGTCTCATGATTACTTAGGCTCTTTTAAAGGCTCTGTTGGACTTCATTGAAAGGCCTTATCTGCTGGATTTTCCTTTAAAGAACTTTAATGGATTAAAGAGACATGACTACCCTTTATAGGGCCAAAACWTAATTACTTTCCAGTGTGATGAAAGAATGTGTTCTCAAGAATTTTACTGCAACTTCTATTATTTTATCTAGAACAGCCATTCTTCTATAATTCTCTAGAGAGAGACAAAAATATAATGAGGATTGATTTACATGGAAATTGAAAACCATGACTAGGAAAAGCTCAGAAATCAGAAGTCCTGCACGTAACAGCCATTAACCTGGCAGTAGATCTTCCACTTTATCTCACTAAATTGGTTTCACATCAGGCTCATTGAATCTCTAATTGCATTCTTTGATTTGCCACAGGATATGACACATCAAACTAGGGTTTCCTCTGTCTCAGATATTACCACCAAAATCAGTGGTGGGAATTAAGTTCCATCTCCACTTATACTGGCCAGTTCAGTGCAAAGTCTGTGAGAATTTATGCAGTTTATAAGGTAACACAAGTCTTCGAATGTATATATGGTATCTTTAAGTTTTTGAACTTAAGCACACACTACCAAACCACTGTACTGTGATGTAAAAGATAGCCAAGAAAAGATTTGCATTTCAACCTTCGAAACAGTTTGAATTCACAGCTAAAGGCTCTAATTTCAAAAGGCACAAAAAAGAAAAATCCTGTAGCTTCTGTTTCTCTTCATATGCTGGCAGCCTAAACACATTTAGGGAAGATCTTTGCTAATTTAAAAATTTAAAAATCCAAGCCACATCACTGTCCCCTGGTCATCCCTAGTGCTGGATCTGATTTCAGGATTGGTCCTGCATCAAGCAGGAAATTGGTCCAAACAAACTGCAGGGTATCTTTCTATCTCAAGTCTTTTTGTGATTCAATTCAGCTGTGACCACCTCTCTTTCTCAGCATGGCACTCCTGTGTTCCACACAACACCTGATTGCAATTTGTAGGATTCCAGGGACCATGAACTGGTCATTCTGTATTCAACAGGCACTGATTGACAGTACACTGTTTTGGAGAGGAAGAGGCTTTAGCCACAAACATATGAACTCTACTAAGCAACTTGCTGAGCCAYAGACCATGCTGTGACAGATTTTATTTATGAATGTTGAYGTAGCTTTAGTGACTCCWTTGAAGCTRTAGTATAAACACAATTAAAAAAGTYAAAAGTCAGACCTATGATGTGAAGTTGGTGTCTGAAAAAAATATGCTACAGGGATTTTTCAATCCATTTCTTGCCTTAACTAGTGCTTTGCATTTCAAACCAAACAAAATACTGTTTAATTATTCCTCATAATACCTAGAAGGAAAAAATTAGAAGGGTAGGACAGCTAAACAGCAAGCATCAAATTGGCAYAGCATATCTTTTGAGTTTTGGAATCATCACCATTAAATATTAGCTGTTACCTGGTGACAGACCTGCAATAAGGACACCAGAGCTCCTGGCTCCCAGTTCTGTTCCAACTTATATTTCTTTCAAAGAGCTGTAATTCCCTTACACATTAGCATCAATTTTATATTTATTTGTTAAGCTAAAAAAATTCTACAAATAAGAGGTGAGAGAGTTCTCTCATATCAATCAGCTTATGACATCACAGAACTAATTAGCCAAAAAATTAAGCTGAACAACTTATTTCTGACTAGATATTTACTGCTGAAGTATTTGTAACAGTGTTAAGAAGTAAAATATGATAGTGTAGTTTCCTTACCCCATTTCCGTTTTGTGAAATAGGAATCAGCACTAGGGTCATTGAAGTGTCTGCTCATCATAGTCTCTCCTCCAGCATGAAAATCATATGCGAACACGAGAGCTTAAAAATAGAAACAGATGACATTTATTAACTCAAGTGCATTTGAACAAAGAATCAACACACCAGCTGGGAAGGAGGGAGAGGCAGAGGGAAAGAAAAAAAAGAACAACTTACAATGTTCTCCRAAAGCTTTAGTGGTAAACACTTCACGCAAAGTTACTATATTTGAATGTTGAATTTTTTTCCACATGTCAACCAATACCATGCACTTCGTATTAACCAGACGGAAACCTAGATAAAAAAGTGAAGCACATGACTTAAAGGACAATGTTTCAGATGAGAATTTTTTGCTTTAACATTTTGTCTAAAACTGCTGAAAAGCAACCAGACATTAAAATATGACTGGTATGATCAGGAATGCTAGTCCTATTGAGACAACTCAATTTTTCTCACCATGTATCCTCCGAAGGCAATACGGCAGGTCATCTTTACTATTTACAGCTTTATAGCACGATGTAATGTACCCAAAGTTGCTTGTTTTCTGTATCCGATTGGGCGGTGGCAGTGGTTCCAAAGGAAAGAGACTGTGGTAGCTGTCCACTTCAGCAGGAACTGCTAAAATCAGTTTATACACAGAAATGCCTTAGGCCTCAGCTGGCTTTGAAAAACTTACTGAGTAGCAGAGAAAATTAAAATGGCTTTACTAATAYGTGAATTATCTCCACCATCTTTTAGGTGCATATAAAGCTAAAATTCACTATTTTCGCTTTAATACCAACATATTGGTAGGTTCCTAGAAGTGGTCCCACAGAGCTAAAGGAACGGCCTTCTGAAAAACAGTTACACCAAGTAAAATCAACAGAATAGATGCACAGTTCCATCAGCCATTTTCTCATTTACCTTAAAAATCCACCTTTCTGAGTGACATCTCTTTGGTGCTTTTCCTACACTGATTCATTGATAAGCAAAAATTTCCATGCAGACTTCATATTACATTAAGAATCCCATTTTCATCAGAAAAAAAAAGCAGGTCTCAGTCTTATGTCTTTCAATATAGTGGTTTAGAAATCAGGGAGAGAGAAGTGCTGAAAGTTTACAAACCAGATTAAGAGATTACTCTTGCACTTCACCTGTATTAAAACTCTAAACTGCATTTTTTAAACTGCATCATTATCATAGTATGCACACATATGAGAAGTAAACATACTGCAACCAAAAGCTGTTTAAATTAGGCCAAATAATGTAAACTTCCCAAAAGCCAAATTACAGTAAATAGAATATGGTTCTCTTGCCTGACAACTAGTACAAAGCCTTCTCTGATATACCAGCTGACTTCAATACAAGCTGCATTTTAGTTTACATACAACCTCTGCAAAATATATGCATCATTTAAAGAAGAACCTATTATGTACAAAGTAATACAAAACTGTTCTTCACAAGGTTTTATTGCCTGAATGATTTTTCCATTCTCAGTATTTTGAAGTATTCCTAACCATTAAGGAGTTTCAAAACGGAAGAAAATTAGAATAGAAGCRTGAAAATTAATTAATATTTCTGAAACACTCTGGTTATCCATTTGGCCCCAGCTCATGATTAAGGCCTCAAGAAAAATTAAAAATAGGTGGTATTTTTTGCAAGATGTTGTAAATACAGATGAATGTGCATGGTCAGAGAAAAACATGATCACTGTTTAGTTTATAACACTTACTTACCAGGAATATCAGCCTGATCAATCTGGGCCATAGTTATTAAATGTCTGTTGATAAGTTCCTGAAGAAAAAATGAAGTCAAGTTTTGAACATTATACTTCAGCTCATCATTTTTGATAATTTAAGAGAACACTATCTTTGAAGTCCTAGCTCTCTGTACTAAAATAGAAAATTGATGAAAATGTCCAGGGCAGAGAGGATCAGAAGACCATTAGCTTCAAAATTTTAGTGACAAAATACCTAAATTCTTGAAGGAGCTTCAAAAGACATCTGCTATAGCTGGCACTGACAAAGGCACCTACCACAGTGAAGATGACATAAATAACACTCATAGCCAGCCTTGAGATGATGCGCCCTGAGAAAAACTCCTCAAGTAACACCTGCATACACTTTCATATCAGTGGGAAACTTTAAAAGAATGTTACAAAAATAAACCCATGCACACCAAAAAAAGTACATCTTTAATRGTACTGAGCTGAATAGTAAATCACRGCATGCAGATTAGATTGCAGTCATGTATGTTGTAACTCACCCCCACCCTCTGCTGTACTCCACCTGTTACAMRATTTGATGTTTTTAATTCTTTACAGGGAAAACTAAATGCACATATTACAAGTGTSTATTCCTCTCCTACCATGAGCAATTTTCTATTTTTTGCTAAAATATGCAATTTTCTTTTAAACTCTCATCTTACCTGTCTGAGCTCATCTGCCATGAAGAACGAAGGTGCATTTGCTTTTGGCTGCATATAAGCAACATGAGGTGCAGCTGGATGGTAGATGTGGTAGTTTGGAAATACCTAAAAAGAAAATATTTTAAGAAGCAGTTTAATATCCTTAAGGATAAGGTAAATGAAGAGAGCTTTGTCACTCTCAGTTCAAACTAGAGAACTATGAAATTTTCATGTACAGTACAACTATGCCAGATATGTTACAATTTTTTAGGTGGTACTCACTTCCAATGATTTCAAGGAAGGGGGATGTCTGTGTGCATATATGTGCATAAACAGTTATTTTAACATTTCTGTAACTGGCTTTTCCCTGTCACTGCAAATGTAAGAGCTATTTAACCTGTCAGGAAGAGAAAATCTGACTTCTTAATGTTTTCTCATGATGTATGTATCCACTGAGACAGATGCTTTCTTTCTACTGCTGTATTAAAACCCCACAAAGCTCTACACAGCTGTAAATGAAAAACATACATAAAAATTTCTCTGGTCTTTATATTTCAATTATTTTTGGAGAACAATTAAAATAATTAAAATGCCTATCTTCATATAGAATAAGAAGTTTCGAGTGTTAAAAATGCTACCTATAGTATCAACCAATTCAGCATTCCCAAACTCCAGACAGTTGTGTATTGAAAGCTAACATACCATTCCTGTAAGAGGTGCTGGAGTTGTATCAGTGTAGAAGTATGTTGTTCCACCCACTGTTTCTTTCTGGATCACTGGGCCAGTAGATGGAGGCTGAGAGACAGCATTAGCGACAGACGCAGAGGCACTAGTAGGCACCATATAGTTTGCTGGGTTAGGTGTATGACTTCTTCTTCGAGGAGCAGGAGATGTATGAGGAGTTATTTTGGGGGAATGAAGAGGAGACGATCCTGCTGACAGTGACATTCCTTAAAGAAACACAAGAAGATACTCTTGAATCAAATCTGTCATCAAAAAAAGTCAGCAATTTCAGAAAGCCAGCCTTCACTATCAACAATATTCTGAGTAGGTGAGACACTTAACTCTTCATATATAGAAATCCTTGAGAAATAAAACAGTAAGAGCATGACTTAACAGATATATTTTCCCAAAAATCTTTGCTTAGTGCAGAGAGATAGGGCTTGGAAACTTCGATATACTATGAAGAACTAAAAAAAACATAGAAAAGTAGCTAACATAGAAAAACACAGAAGTAGCTAAAAGGGGAAGATGAGTCAAAATAATGCTGAGTCTAGAAGACAGTTCATTAAACTGAAAAAAGATAAAATATTAATGACTCATATTAATATGAGTGTTTACTTAATAGCTACATGAGCAGTCAATGGAATTTGCTGAGCTGTAACTCACTTCACCTAATTATGCATGTACCTTTTACTAGAACTACAAAGCTATGAATGTCTCCCAGTAATACAGTACAAAATAAGTGTGTTAATAATACATAATATGCTACTATTAATAACTTCAGGGAATAATTGCCTATTTTCCTGTAATCACTATATTCAGAAGTTAGTCTATAAAATATTGACTTAATATGTAAAGATAGCTAACATCTCATGATATGCAGTCTATTAAACATTCCTGCTGCGATTTTCTAATTTATTTGAAATTAGTTTATTGGCTAGTGTTCACCTTCAACATAACAGCGGCAACGCCAGTTAAGTCTGAAAAGCTCTGAACAAAGTCCATCAAATGGGAAAAACGTGGGCAACTTGTCTGCATACACACTTTTCAGTAACCAAAAATTTCATTACTTCAAGAGTTATTGCATGCAGAATTCTCAGATTTCTTAATTATAACAATTTAGGTGTAAAACAGGCATTGCAGGGTGCTGCTRAGGAAGAGATAACCCTCAAAAAAACTCCTTGCAGATTTACTTGCTAGCAGACCTGAGAAGTTCAGGTGCTCACCTTGGTGTTAATCTGAATATCTTTGAAATTTATTGCTGCTTTGTTCAGACTGGGACGTACTTTCTCTTCTATACAATCAAAATTGTATCAGTCATACTAAATCATCTTGTTGAAAGGATAGAAGTGCTCAAGTTTTATACGTAATGTTCTATTCACAGCTCAGAATTCTTCTCTAATTAAGAATTCTGTTATTACTCAGATATTTGCTTAAATTAATTCCATAAGCTCTAGATAACCAGAGTAATTTATGCAAATATCCCACTAACGAAAGCAAGAAAAAAAATTATGCATACACACTTTTAGTAACAAAACTAGTTTACTTAACTTCAATCACGAGTTACTGTATGCAGAGGTCTCAATATGCATCATCAGTAACGCGTAGGAGTGATTTTACACTCATATCATGTCCCTAAATCAATCTCATCCCTCCTACATTTCTTTTTTTTTTAAAGAAATGACAAAGCCAAATAACAGTTTCAGTATTAACAAGTAAGCAGTAGCTTGGGAAAAATTATTTTGAACCTGCATTTACCTAATGATATTAACAGAATATTTGTAACCTCTCATTTAGCTCCTCTCATTTACTCCTTTGACATCTCAAAAATCATGCTTATTAATTCAGCACAATTATCTTTTGTTCCTCAAAAGTGAATAGTTCCAACAAAATAAACAAGACTTTCAATATGTAAAATGTGGGAAAATCATATGCCTTTCTAATTGTCTCTTTTGAATCATTTATTTTTTCTATAAAAATATAAATATAAGAACATGAAAGGAAAAAGTCTGCACTTTTCTAGGCCAGAACTTTCTTTATATTAATACATGTACATTTGTGTACACACACTTTGTAAATAAGCAGTATTATGGAATATTGCTGTTTAGTGTACTAACTAAAAAAACTAATTGTAATAGCCACTTCTAAATGGTAACAAAAATAGTCTCCTAAAWATCTGTTTAGAAATTAACCCTATGACTGCAAAATGTTACACATTTTGACGGCACYAATTTATGCTACAAAAGAAAGAAAATTTTCATTAAGGTAGAAGTTACCTTGAGTGACTGAGCAACACTGCAATATTTCAACAGCTACTGTTTGTTTGGATTATTACATTTTTAACAAAAGACTAAAATATGAATACATTCTTAAACCACTGGGGAAAAAGATCAATTTCAAAGGAAGCAATGTATTAGTATTAAAAGCTGAAGGATGACAATTAAAGCATCCATTAAACTAAATGAATTCTACAGTTTATGATATTCAGTTCTCTTCATCTATAGAAAAGTTACTGACATATCTTTTTCACTCAATTCTAATAAAGCAGTATTAACTCAACTCCTTGCAAGCACATCATCTCAAACCAGACAGGCATAACTGGCTACAATAAAACAGTCAACAGTAGAGATCTTGAAATAAAAACTCTGCAGCCTTCATGTATACTGAAGGAGAATTAACTGAAGACCTCTCTACTAAAAAYAAACACTATATGTACAATACACAGTATACAGTAAATAATATAAAAAAATGAAGACTTGCACCTCGCTAAAATTATGCTGTGACCTTCTACTGCAAGTTTCTCAGAAGAAAAAATGTCTCTAGTGGKTTTTACACATATAATTTCAAGCAATTTCCACTTTTAGATTTACTTTTTAAAAAATTCCATCCCTGCGAAGGAACAGTTACAAACATAAATTCTTTATGTCTTTGCACAGGTACGAATGCAAGATTGAAACAAAAGGATCACAGCATTATCCAAATCCTTCTACATGGCCTTCCAGTCTAGTAGGTCTCATTTTCAAAGGACATGGAGAGCTGAATGTATGGCTTCTCATTTGCTAATATGCATAGTGAGTTCAGGAGACAAAAAAAAAGTTTACTACAGTTTGGTTTTATTCTACTAGAAAAATATGCCACACATGCTACAAGAATTCTGCTGTTAGTGCTGTGGTGGGTACAGAGAGGCTGAGGTGATAGATTCTTTTGAGACACTTGCATTACAGTATCCTGCAGATTCTAAGTAAGGATTGGAAGTCCAGTTWAAAAAAAACAAACAAAAAMCAAAAAAACAACAACAAAATAAACCCTTTTAATACAGCGAAACTTATACATATTTAAGCACTTAAGGCATCAAATATTTGAGTGCACAAACTCAAGCAGATATCACCAAATTCATTAGCATTTCAGTTACAAGCATACTAATACTAATATTTAACCATAACAAATAGAATTAGAGGGAATGAAGGAAAATAGATACATTAAAAAGTGATTATATATTCCTACAGACTCATACCCAAGATAAAAGATGTCACTAAACATACAATAGCAACAATGAAATCACATCTCACAGAATTAGGCTGATTTTAATAGTACAATGTATATAAATGCCTATTCACTTACAGGCCGAAGAAAAAATGGGCTTTGAATAATCTACTCACAATTTACATGTATGCGTATATTTATATACATACCAGTGATCATGACAGATACCATTAAACTTTCCCTATGAAAGGGTTCAAGATTTCCCTATATTAAAATTCAAATGCCAACAGGAAGACTAAGACAGACACCAAAAAGTCTGTTTTAAATTGTCCCTCCTGAGACTTTTCTACCAGCAAAGGTGGCTCACCATTCCTTGTCTTGGGGAATTTCATCAGACTTCATGAAAAAGTCAAACACAATCTTAAATGACAAAGTGCAAGGAGAAAGGGCTTCTTTCACTTCACTGTTTTTTATATCTAAAAAGAGATGGCATAGTATGCAGCTATCATGGTGTCATACCAACATGGAAATAGTTGTGGGATGTGAAGATCTTTTCAAAACATTCACAGTGATTGTGTAGACTACCTACACACACCTGCAGCTCCTGATGCTATTATTTTTTCACATTTACATATCCCTCTTTATTCATGTATTCTTATATTTTCATTTCTTGCCTTGTTTTTCATTTTTGAAGTTACATTTTGACTGAGGAAAAGGCAATGGCAGACTTTGACATTTGAGACAATGCATTTGAGACAATGCTCAAAAACATTTTATGAGATTAATGCTTCAAAGAAAGCTTTGTAACACACAATGTACTTGAATTAAAAGCTAGATTAATCTAGAATCTAGATTTTAATCTGAGATTAATCTAAAATCTAGATTTTAGATTAATCTAGAATCTAGATTTTAATCTGAGAATTCACACAGATAATCAGGATCAAAGGGCATCAAGCATGATCTCTTAATGACTCAGCATCTATAAACTTTTTGATTTAATGAGAGTTCACAACATAGGCAAGATTTTATTAAACTCACATGTATGCAAATCAGCTGGCCTACAATATTAAAGGTTTAGAAAAACCTTCAAGTTTTGCATACAAATTTACTAATCTACAACCCTATCTCTATGCCTGTAAGATTTGTAACACATTCAGAGGTCAAAAATAAAACATTTAACATTTTATCACTTCAATGTTCTGTACTTTCGAGACGCCCTAGATTACTAGTTAAATTTTGAAGAATGACAAAGGAAAGTAAATTACAAAATCAGATTATTTCAAGAACTTAAAGTACCATGCTTAAATTAAATATTTTTTTTTATTTTAAGCTCATWACCAGGTCATTAGCATTGTAGCTAGGCATTTTCAAGTTGATTAAATCTGTTTCATTCCCTAAACAATTTATCAATTCTTCCTCAGTTTTAATTGGGAAAAAGGTAATTTTACAGTCTTTTTCCTTCTTCTGTTCTTATATTATTCTGGAATGCCAGCACAACTTTCTCTGCACCACATTTGGTCCAGGAAGATGGAACAAGTTCTTGGTGCCTTCAGCCCCACAAACCACTTCATCTGAAAGCGTTCCATCTCCAGAGCTGGGGCCGTGCAGTCTGAGAGCTACACTCTTGCAGCTCATCASAACTGGAGATGTATCAACTGGATACAAGTGTAACACCTTCACAATCCTGGCTCTTAAGCCTGCAGGTTCAGTCTGGCAGGAGAAATGGGATCTCTTACATTCTGCATAAACTCAGAACCTGACTTGAACTAAAAATATAGAAGGAACAGCAATTTGCTGTCACTTCCATCAGTGACAAAGGCATCATTCTTTAGTTATAACCTAGCTTTAGCAAACCTAAGACAGACAGATTTTCACTACTGGGGGCTATACATCTGCTCCCTCTCAACTTAAAAACAGCAATGATGTCTTATCACTTCGAAGACATTCATTAATTTCTTTCATATACTGTGTGGTATATTTTAATGCCATTAACACAGTAAAACAGGTACACAGGACTGGTTAAGATAAGCTTGTTAGCAAAAGTGTTATTTTAAGATCAACACCTTAATAAATTTCCCACACAAATGACAAACAGTGTGTTTGCTAGCAACAAAAAGGAATAAGATATTATTCAAGTGAGTTTACGGAAAAGCAGTTTGGAAACTGTGAACAAGATCAGTTTAAAACTTTACAATGAAACAATTTTCTCCCACAATTTGTACGTTATATATAACGTACAATATATGTACGTTGCATTTATATCACTATGTTTCTATATTTTATTAGAGACTACCAAGATGAAGACTGATTCTGTGCTGTGAGTACACTAGAAAGCACTTATCTAAGTAAACGTGTGAATAACCTTCCTCAATGCTAAACCCTAATTGATATGTCAGGCATGGATACACCAAGTTATGCACTGAGGTGTTTTAGATTTCCCCTATTGTATTTTTCAGTATTTCTGCAGTACTGTTGACAAGACAGGCCAAATTAATATTTCCAAGGACAACTGAGTCATGTATGAAATACTAGATAACRAAAGTTGTTTTGAATGACACCTACCTTTAGCAAAATCTCAAAAATTAGGTAAGTGAAAGAACTTACATTTTTCCATCATCAAAGGACTATTTTCATAATTTACCTACTTCGCTATGCAAACCTTCAATTATTCCTACTACATTTGCTTATTTCTTATGAAATTTTAATTTCCTCCAGTACCCTKTAAATTACTATAAGCAATTTTAATCTCACAGAAATATTGAAATCTGCAAAGTTATTCTACTGAAGAGTATACCCTTTAACTGGAAAGAGACTTATCTTTATTTAAAGGAAAATTCTTATGAACTCTTTATATGGGTTTCATTTGAACTTCTTTTCACTCATTGAAAGCTAACAGATCTCAACCATTTTTTCATTACAACTTCAAAAGGTATTTAAATGCTTTTCTAATTCTGTTACCCAGCATGATCTAAGTGGATACTGCTTTCATATTTAAGAGCCTAGTTTTTTAGAAAGAGCACCTCCTAGCTGACCTTGAGGTAACAGGAACTTCTGTGGATATATACTGTTGACAGCTTTAATGTTGACATTCAAATAAAAATAAATGTCTATGAGCAGTATTTATATATGACACTTAGGTTCAGAGAATTCTGCACTCAGTGAGAGAAGAAAAGCTTCTAGAAAAATTCAGAGCATCCAACCAAGATCCCTACTTTGAACTATATTTTCTTTTTAATTACAGGAAGAACAGGGAAACAAGCCAACTCTGCCTGAAGTTAGCTSTTATGAACACTCCCCCATCCCTCTTGTCCATAAACAAACAACAGTATTGAGGCTAGAAAGTATGCAGCATTGGTATCTATATTTATCTCTAGGAGCTAAAATTGTTGTGCGAACTTCTTTCACCAGTGTTACTTATCCTTTCGAGTATTACTTACAGATAGTAAAGAAATTGGACTGTGAAGGATCCCTCTGAGACCCCACTGGACACTTTCCAAAAGTAGATCATTTTACTGTATTCTATTTAATCCTTTACACACTTTTCAATCCAGGTGACAAGGCTGAGAGGCATATAAACACAACAGTTTTCCAATAAGACGGTACAGCACAATATAGYATCAAGCAGACACAGTACCATAACACGTTCATTTGGTCAGCAGAAGCATCAATCACTTTCCTAGCCTGCTCTGGTAAGTTTTCACATGCAAGCTAAATGCTGGCTTCTTTCACATTGACACTGGCATCAAGAAAGACTCAAGTTCATTTTAATGAACAACAATTGCCAATAGATGTTTTAACAAAATAATTTATGATATTTGTCTGGCTGGCTTTTGGCAGCTACCTAATGCTTCTTGTCAGCCACAAGAGACTGCTGAAGTTTAAGTACATAYAGAAATTAATTAAAGAATCACAGTGTGAATATCAAAGTCTGCTGATGGCTATACATTAAAAATACTTTAATTTTAATTCTAGTAATTTTGTTTGAGTAAGTTAAAATGTTAACCTAGCTTCAGAAGACTAAAAGATGCATGAAGGGCTTACAGTTTTTAGATGCGTAAAAAAGTCTGTCACTCAGAATTACATGACTGCCTGGAACACGTATCAATAAGAGTCTGAAGCCTGGGAAATTAAGTTAAAGACCAAACAAATTGGTTTTTAAGTGAGATTACATGGGACAGATACAATAAAAATTAACACTATTTCACAAGGCAAAGCACTTTACAATTAGCTTGTCTTCTACTTCCAGTTTTTAATCCTGACTTTTAAGTTCTCATATACACTCATTGATACTGCAAATAATTACTTCTACATTACCCAGTCTAGAAACTAATAAAAAAGCAGATCAGTGTGTGGTAATCCAAGATACGCATTGTAGACTACAATGCATTTCTAGGTAGTTTAAACCATTTTCAGGTACTGCTCTGGCAAGAACTACTTGGGACACAGTATGTGAAAACTCAGCTACCCTCTTCCCCAAAAAGAACWGAGTTTAATTTCAGTGCTATTGGGGCTGAGCAGATTTCACAGCCTGCARTGTGATTTCCATACTACTGGAAGATAAATTCAAACTTACTCTACTTTTTGAAGATTGCCTTAAAATTAAGAGCTAAAGTAAGTAGTAGCTACATTKATACCTGATAAATCTAATAACCATATATATAGAGTTATGCTTGACAACACGAACCAGTGTACTATCATTACTCTCAACTTACCTGGTGCTAGCCCAGCAGTAGCAGGACTTCCCATGGAGGGGTGAGAGAACAAGGCTTGAGAGAAGGCAGACATACTTGACTGGGATACATTACTCAGCCTGGAGGTTGATCCTCCTTTAGGAATAAACTCACTTGCAGAAGGATTTGGTGTCTGTTAAAAAAAAAATTAAATGTTTATTTTAAATGAGAAGGGATGGACAGTATCCACTTGGCAGAAAACACTTTCTAGAAAGGCCTACTAGTGCAGGAGGTATTTTTGATATTTTTGAGGTACATAGAGCTTGTTGACAAGAACAAAGAATACTAGAAGCTGGTGTGCATGAACAAACGTAGACGTGTTTTTAGCTGATGTCTGAAGTAGTATAAGCAAACTTTCCATATGAATAGATGGTGAACAAATTCATACAACATTTTGCAAAAGACTTTCCATAAGCATTACGAGTTGGAGAACAGACTTGACACTGAGAAAGCTTTGCCACAGCTGCACAGACTGTTCCCCCATGACTTCAGCAATTTCATCTCAAACTAACTAGCAGTTTCAGATTAAAGGAACAAAAATGATTCCTACTAGAAAAGTCATTCCTTCCTCTATTTCAAATAAATCTGTATGTTCAAGCTTTTTGTGAAGTTAACTTTTGTTTTAATTACCTGTTTCATTTATCTAGCATCTTTAATAACAAAGTTTAATTTGGTGCCACAGAAAACAACAGAAGCAGAATGACAGTCAAAACATCCAGTATTTGTTAATACATAAAACAAACACACAAGCAATTTTTAATTTCTTTTAAAATCAGTGCAAATGGTTTTGTAGTTTGGTGTTGTGGTGTTTGTTTTGAGGTGAGGTTTTTGTTTGATTTGGGGTAGTGAGGCATAGAAAAAGAGAATCCCAGTAAAAACTCAAAAGGCCAAAAGCTTATTACTGGACAGCCAATTAAAAATTACATGAGTGGAACAAAAACCACATTAAGCCAAGAAATAAAACCAATTATTCTATGAACACTCTGAAAAGCTTAAAGATTATTAAATTACAGGGTTTAGTTTATTAAGTAATCTGCAGAGTACCTCTCGAAAGTGTCTAAACAGGTTAGGTAAAATAAGACAGCAACAGCTTCCAATAGTGTTAAGATAATTCATAATGGATTTTTTACAGAAAATTATATTGGACTACTCTGGTTTCAGAGAGTTTTAAAAGGACAAAATATACCAACTGTTAGTTAAATTATAAATATTGATTTTACCAATATAAAGCAGCATCAGAGGAAGCAAGTTAGTGCCAAAATAGAAGCAAAGTGTGAACATCAATTCAGACAGTAAAGAAAGTACTTGAAAAGAGTTTCTGATAATTGGGTTTTAATACCTTTATTTGAATATTTCTGCCAAATATCATAGTATTTATATATTTCAAGGCACTGAAAAAGAAGCTTCTCAAAGTACTAAAATTAAAGAAGATGCCCAGGTTTAAAATATTCTATCTTTAGTAAAAATATTCTATCTTTAATTACACAGTAAATTTTAACCACTATCCACTTTATGATATCAATTTTACCACCTTGYCATCTTACATGTGCATGCTTCTGAATATTCAAAGAACAGCTACAAGCAAATATGTAGATTGTGAAGTAAAACACTTAAATGGAAAAGGAGTTCACATTAATTTTAAAACTCTTTAATCACAGTTAAGGAAAACATGTTAAGACACATACTAATACAGCAAAACAAAGGATAGGTTGAATTATAGAGACTGAAAACATGTAACTAACACATTTATACTCAAAAGGTAATATTCTGGACTTATCTGAATTTAGGTACATGAAAAACTAAGAGAATGATGTTCCTCTAGATAAAAACTGGCATGCAACCCTTCAGCAAAATCTGCACTGAAACTAGAGAAAATTACAGAGGTGGTAAAGAGTAAAGTAGCACAAACTTCCAAACAGTGATAGAGCTAAATAGTTATCAAACAAAATCACTGGGAGAGCAAGGGACAGAATTTGTAACATCTTGCTAAAACAACATAATTCAAAAAAACTACAAAAATGAAAAAGATGCACATTTTTCCACTGCTAAAAGTAGCAGCGACACATCCACAGCTCTATCACATCTAAATACTGTATCAACCAGGTGACAAGGGTGGGGCATGGCATTAAGTTTGAAGCATGCAAGCAGAAAGACACCTTCTGGATAAGTCAGACTTTCCTAGACCAACTCAGAGTTGCCAAAATACCATCCACAGCATTCTGGCTAAACTCTCACCCTTTTCACCTACTGATTCAAACATCCTACAGCATAAGAATGCTTCTTATTTCTAAATGCATTCTACAAGTTTTCATAAACAAGTTTTGGTGTCTAAAAGTTACATACTGAACATTTTGGTTTCTAAAAGGTACCTATAACCATTACAATTTTCAAATGTAGCTTCACTTAAAAGAAGAGTTCCACTTTACTTTAACTGATAGGTGTTTTAATTTATCCAAGTGAAAGAATCAAAACCAGGAATCTGCCAAGGCTAATGCGGTTTATGCTGTAGAATGACAAATAGCAAAGGGTCAGYCTGATGAAAATTCAGTTGCATTCTATTTTTTTGATATCACAACTCAGGATAAGCCCCAAAGCCTGATAAGTTGTTTTCACATAACTTTGATGAAAATGTTGCATTTGAGTAAATACCTTCGATTTACAAAGACAGACCCTACCCTACAAAAGACTGTTTTACTTCTCTGTGATGCTACAAACATGAAGCTTCAATCCATGACTCGCCCCACAAGTAAAAAAMGTGATTTAACTTTTGGTTACAATTTTAAAATTTCCATCTTCAAGTTGTRTTCTGAATACAGAAAAATACTCAAGTTCCACAGTCACTAGCCACAATAAAYCAAAGTAATACAGCAAATTTTAGTAATTTGTGGTGAAAACTAGCAAATACTGTCAGAGAATTTGAAGCTTAACCCCCAACCCACATTTAAATTCATTACATTTATGAGAAGCTGCAGYTCTTAAAAACTCTTATGCTTCTTAGAACATTTTATCTGAAGTAAAACATGAATTTTTCTGAAAACAATTTTCTTACATGAAAATGATTAAAACAATTGGGCCAGAATAACTAAGTAAACTGAGGGAATAAAACATTACTATTAGATCTTTAAAATTTATTCTTTTAATTACTTTTCAATCTTTGTAGATAACCATTTTGCAGCAATGACCCTGCAAATATGCCAAAATTAGGAAGTCACATTCTTAATGGCCAGTGATTAAATGTTATATTCCTGGCCTTAAAAATTGTCCTATTTCCACTCTGTCGACTCATAATACAAAGTATAAATTCTAGTTTTAGTTTTACATTTGAATCAATGGTAAGCTTGAAAATCTGTTTAAATGGTAACTATGTTTTAGAAACCAACAGAGTATCCTTAGTTTTTCCACTAGAGTCCTACCAAACTTCCCAGGATGGTGTAAAAAAAATTAAACTTTTATAAGATGAAAATAAACTAGATTCTACTGGTGAAAAACATTTTCTCCATTCTATATTTTGTTTAAATTTCACACTGGTACAGCTTCTGAACAAATTTCACTTAATTAGTAATTAATTTACTCATCTCAGAATAAAGATACATTCATACTAGATGAGGCTTAAAATTTCAAGTTAGAATAAATCAGGATTAATAAAATATGTAGAGAAAATGGGTTACTAATTTTCAGGAGTAATCAGAAGAAGAGATATCCAAGAATCATTTAATCATTATGCAATACTGTGACATTAAAAAGCAGCAAATACACTTCTAAACACTAAACAATAAAAGCCTACTAACATGGTCTGCACTGTGTTACGTACGTCTATTTTCAGTTTCAAATGCAAACATCCCATAAAAAGGTACATACAAAATTTCAAAATGCAAATTAACATGTTTTCAACAAACAACATTAAAGAGAAGGAAGTCTAGCTGTGTCAACTATGTTATGTTTTTCTAGCAAACCACAAAAGCTGACTTCTAACCTATACCTTTGCTAAAATTGCCATGATTCCTTTGTCCTCTCAACCTCATCAACTCAAATTTCAYCCTCCTTCTTCCAGGGTATTAATAAAAATGCTGTCAAACTAAAGCAGTGAAGCAACTTCCCTAATTATTACCTGRRTATCTACATCATGCCTTCTCAGTAKGATTCCATGAAGAAATRTCATCAAAATACAGTTTTCAGATTCTTTATGTCCATGCCTCTTTTCAGTGAGCTTTGCAAAGAAATTTCCAAAGACAGACCACAAAACTAAGTCCATCCAGCTCCACTTACCAAAACAAATCCTATACTTCTGTACATCAGAGAGAAAAAAAACCTATAAAACTCAAATAAATACAGTCCAAATGAAAACTGATTTTAGCTATGATGCAATTACTACAGATGGAACCACAAAAGTATGAATAGAGGCTAGGACTATTGAACAACTCATTTGTSTCACCAGTCAGCTCAGAATTTGTCTGGCAGCATTTATGCTTTTACAGGTATAAAAGGAAATAAATTATAGCACAGAGGGAAAGAAACAACATATTCTGAGAGTACCACCAATAAAACCCCAAAACAATTCAWGGCTCTTGAAGAAGGTACAAATGAATGTAAAGAGCATGCCAAAGATCTAAGCTGAAGACAATCAGACACACAACAGCATGTGGCATTACTGTATGTTGAGGAGTTGCATATAAGGTTTCTGTAACCCAGAAAGAAAATTCCTGTTTCATCAACAATCAATCAATTTCAATACATATGATTTGTCTTTATGCTTCTGAGTGACAAACTTATAAGGCCCCACTGCTGCACTAACAAATAAATGAATCCTCAAAGTGCCTTGAAGTACAGAAGTAAGCTGGAACACAGATGCAGAAGTTACAAAGCCTTTGGAAAGTTAGGCAGGTACCCCACAGGAACACTGGAAACCATCCTTCTCTCTCATTCCTTATTCAGCACCTCAACACAGCACACAGCTGTACAGCAGCAGCAAAGACATCACATCAGTTTCACAGGCTGTAAAACTACTTCATTACAGTGGTCGTGGTCCCATAYTCAACGAAAGCCCAAAGCCACCTACCTAACTCAAAAGTAGGCCAATCTCATTTGATTTCAGAAGGACGTGCTAACGTACTTAGCATGCTAGAAACTGCATACAAGCCTCTTTGTTCTCTTTTAATGTTCTCCTTCACTTCCAAATTCATGATTTGTTCTGACATATCAAATTACATAATCATGTAATGGTTACAGAAAACCACTACTAACCTACACCCATGCCATAAAGCAGGGCACTCCTTGACTACTGTTTTTGGCATAATTTTCATAATATCTCTTATGCAGAAGACTTTCTTGAACTTAACATTTTATTTCGTTGTTGCTGGGTTTTGGAGTTTCTCTGTAGTTTTTTTAGTGGGCAGATATTCTGTGTAAGGAGATTAACTTTACAGAACATTGTTGCAATTCCTCCTACGATTGATTCCTTGTGAGCCATGACATCAGGAAAGGATGCATTTTGTGATGTTAGAGCAACCCAGAAGACACTGGAGGTTTCCAAGGACTTCGAAGCAAATCTCTTTCTCTCTCATCACTGAATTTGTGTAACATGCTACCATATTGCAATTATGGTGAAAGTCATCACATCATTCTAACAACAGGCTCTAATAAATTCCAATTTGTAAACATGATTCGTTCTATTGCTCTACTGCTCCCGCAGAACTCATTAAAACTGGGTAAAATTCGTTGGCTAAAGATTAATYGGTTTATAAGCAATAAACACAAGCTCCAACAAAACTATTAACAGTCTTGTTAAAACTGGTGTGAAGGAGGTGTGAAGTTACTAAAAAGTAAATTTTAAAAGATTTGGAATATTTTCACATTTCTTTAACAAAAATCCTTCCAACTACTGTAACAACATCTAAAGTTTTAAAAGTGCATGCTCCTAATGCAATTTACTTGAAAAAATTGATTTTTATTACTATTTTTTGCTCAAGAAACAAACTAAGAATCAGTTATTGATGGTGAATAAGAACTAATCTGGGTAAAAAAAAATTGATCTATTCCTATTATACGGGGAATTACCATTTGCTATCATAATACGTATGATGTGGTAGTAGAGTAGCTCAGGACATTTCCTAATATAGAGTAGGATACATCACTATAAAACAAACTTTGGTTTGGTTATTTTTTCTTTTTTAATACACAACCCAGAGTACAATTCACTCTGCAGACTTCACTTTTAATCATTTAAGTGTAACACCATATTTAAACAAAACAGATCTGGATTATAAATTCATAGCCATACAGGAGTAACAGTTAAAACTTGCATTATAAGATAATTTAACACCTTTCCTTCTTCAGTCTTGCCACATTCCACAGTTCCTCTTCAATCCCTCCAATGYTTCTCCTCCAATTCTATCTATTATGGCTGGTATATCCTTCTGTTCATACTTCCACCACATGTGCATATGTTTGCTGTGCTGAAGCCCACATCTCCGTGGGAAGCTACACAGTTGCATCATGTAATACAAATCTTAAGCTGCACATAGTTTAAATCAATTATGTAGCTGGRATTCTGGTGCAATAGAGGAGCCTGGAATTCCATCTTTCAAAAGGTACGTGCTCTGCAGCCAATCCCAAACACTGTCAACCTGAGAAAGAATTGGGACATKGAGCTTCCTTCCCTTTGCCACACTCAGAACACTACTTCAGAGCGCACAGGTACTGAGAAGACAATTGCTCCTAATGRGAAGCTTCATGTCTCAGGCTACTGCCTTTCCATCCTCCAGAAGCACTAAGTTCTTTTGCTTCTAATCTAAATGGATTAGATGAACAACGAAGCTTGTTGCATCACTGTATAGCAAGAAAACAGTAGAGGACAGAATTGCAAACAGAACTTTTCTTGCCCTTCTGAAAACTGAAGAAACTAAAGCTTCTCTGAAAAACCTGAAAACTAAAGATTCTCTCTTCTCAGAAACAACTGCCTTTAATTATAGTTTACACTCACTATTAGATACACAGTATAAATTCACTTTGTCAATCTTCTCTCCCTTCAAAACAATACTGCTTCACAGGCTCACACCAGTCTCCGTCAAGCTTACCTGGTTCTATCAATGTTTCCTTTAAGCTTCATCTTTTCTCCATCAGTGGCTGTGCTGCTTCCCCAGCAGCAAAAGGGCCAAGACCGACCGAAGGTCCAAATATCCCTAAACAATGTAGCATCAGTTTGCCTACATCACACGGCCCATGACTGTCCATTTCAGTAACASAGAGATATCCAAACATCAAATAATGAAAAACTAGTATCAGGGTGGAAAGGAGCTCATATGAACATCATATTGGCTTTTACACAGCAGAAATTCAATGAACTGAAAGAAAACCTTAAAACTAGAACTTCTGGCACCTTAAGTCTATTGTCAATTTACCCATTTCACTCACTTGGAAAACACCAAAAATAACATAACCCTCTTAGGAAGATTAAAATAACCTCTGAGGAATCCAAGGCACTACAACAAGTGAAAACAGTATTAGCAGCAGTGGTGCAGTTCCCACCACTGTAATAATTTCCATCTAAACTCCATTTAAAAGGACATGAAGCAGATTCATCATAGACTAGATTTATYCTGTGTTATTATCCCAAGGATTACCTGCTACTTTGATAAAGAGCTATTCAAATCCAGCTGTACCACCCCCTCTTACAGAACTGAAGAAGGTTCAGGAATAAAGTCAAATAATGGTAAGAACTGCATAGAAGAACTGCAATAAGAATTGCAAGTTGAGAAATATAAACTATCCCAACATAAAAATTAAGAATTTATACTTCCTGATCATGGTGCTGTACTGAGGGCATCTATGTGCATTGTGTCAATCATTTTAATAAAAATCATTAATTTTACCAGTAAAAATCTTCCTCAGATGAGAATTAAAAAGGGTTGTTTGCTTTTAGAATAGATTAAATGATTACTTTTGCTCCTTCTCCTCAGATTATACCAAAAACAAGTACGCACAGAGCTCAGCAAAGGGTGAAGATAATAAAACATCTCCAAGTTGTTCTCCTAGAGGGCCACTATGCCTGCTTTGTGAAATAAATATGTGATTCGTGAAATAAATATGTGATTCCTAACTTATACTTCAAGTAACTGTTTCTAACATTTTCCAAGATTTAAAATAAAACATCCAAAGCACTGAAAAAGTGACTAATAAAAAATAATTTTACCTGTAAATTGTTTTCTGCGACTCTGTTCCACCAAACCATATTGATGGGTACTCCTGTTTTACACCTGTCAGCCAGACAGCCGATAGGGTTCTTTGATTTTCTTGCCTTTGATCCCACCGGAACTATCCTCTCATCCAGCATCCCCAGTCGATACTTCCTGGGCTATGAAAAAGAAGGAGAGAAACCAGGCCACTCCTAACAACCCTCATCTAAAGCTACACTAAAATTACACTGTGATACGATTCTGGATTGGTGGAATAGGAAACAATTTGCAAGTAAAATTTAACTGAGACTGTTTCCTCTCAATCCTGACTATTTGGTTGGAATAAACAATGCTTTAAAAAAAAAAAAAGAAAAAAGAAAATAAACTTCAGGTACTACTAATTATTTGTAAGCAAAACCATCCATCACAAGTCAGCCACTGAAATATGSACATAAATTTGGGAATTCTGTACATATGAGGAACTGTTTTTATAATTCCACATTTCCAAAATAGATACCTTCAATCACATCATAATAACGAACACCTCCCCTGAAATTTTTACCGAACAAATTTTAAATACAAATTTGCCATGACTCATCTTCTGAAAATTTGCTTTTTAAAACTGGATAGAATTGAGTAGCCAGTTGCAGCAGAACTCTGAGAAAAACATTTCTGCTCAAGTTAGTACTTTAAAAAATAACTTCAGCTACTGTCTTAAGTGAAAACAGACAAGAATTACCATGACAAATGCATTGGAAACTGTTATAAAATTGAGAAAATAAAACACATTTGAGGAAGCGAACATGTAGGAATTACTTGCACCTCATTAACAGTGACATTTCTATTACATTGGCAATGATCTCTACAAATTGAACTATTTATAAAAATGGTATGAACATTAAGGCAYACTGTAAAAAAATCTGTTAAATACTTTCAAATAGGTAAAGTACAAAACTTTTCCAGACTTCTCTGTGCTTCCTAACCTATGTGTATCCACCTAGATAGTAAATATCATCAAAAGAAATATTTTATGCATATTTAGGCCAGGGCCTTTAACACCAGTTATATCAACAACTGGACCAAACTGCAGGAGTTGGCTGGTTGTATTTTGCTGAGGGGTTTTGTTTGGGCATCTTTATGTATCAGTGCAACTATCATCTGGATATAGATCACTAAGTAATCAAAGCTTAACTTACCTTTATTCAGATATCTACTTCACTTAGCACCTTAGAAATCTTAACAACATGTGCCTTCTTACACGTTTTAGAAATTATTCCTAGAAACAAGGCAAGAACCTAACTGGAGAAGATTTCCCACTCACATAGAAACAATTGTAAAACACAGCRCAAAACTACCATAAAATGGCTGCAAAAATAAAACCTAAATAGATTCTCTCCTCTACTTCCCTGAAACCTTTCCAGGTGAAAGCTTTGGAACGAATTAAAACTCAGTAGAGTCAACAGTACCTCATTAACCTAAAAAAAAAGCCCAAAAAAACCCTCCAAAAAAGGCCACAAAACCCACAAACAAAACAACAAAAAAATCCTAACATAGACTATGAGCTACCAAAGCCAATAACCTCCATGGAGGAGCTAACCAACCTTACTGACAACAAACAAGACAACAAACTCTAATTTTACCATACCAATTAGAAATCAGTTATGTGTAGCTCAAAGTCCTCCTGCAGTTCAAATGCACACCTGATCATGGTAAATCTAAATATTGGTTTCTTATTTGGAGAAGCACTCAACTATTAGGCAACGCATCTCAGTAAATCAGAAAGACTACTGAAATCCTAACCTGCAAAGCCAAAAGGTGTGAGAAGCATTATAGCAAGATTAGACTTTAGGGCTGGGTTTGTAAACACTRTATTTTTTTCTTATGCCAATTATTTGAAGTAATATAATAAAGAGTGACAGTTTCCCTGGAAGCTTTCCCGTCTCTCTCTCCATGCTCTACCAAGTGCAGGGGCACAGTCTGCCTCAGGTTACTAGACTACAACCCAGTGCCCAAACACACTTCCATTCATAAAGGGTTCTTCTGATCTTCCATAACWGGTTGTCAACAAACATTTTGAAAAGGAGAATCAAAACAAAAGAGAAAATGAGCCAGTCTGGAAGGTTATTTTGGTTACAACAGGATTCAGATTCCAGACAACAGGATGACACTGTACTTTAGGTTTCATGAAGGACAATACTGAGGGCTGGGGGACAAAAAACGGTCAATTCTAAACCTGAAAGCAACAGAGAGAGTATGAGTTCATGTTCCAGTAGTTCTTGTCCTACGTGTATTAAAAAATAAAATTAAAACACCGGATGAGACTAAAATTAAATTTTAGTTTCATTACCTATCACAAAGCATTAGGGGATTACTAGGTCAGAATTCAATTGTTTAGACAGACATTAGAAGATAGAAAATACAATATTAACATTTGGAAATAAATTCTAGCCTATTTGCAGCAAAGTCATTCTAAATAACACTTGTTTCTCAATGGGCAAAATAGGATCTGCTTTAGAAATGCAATCTGAATTTAAAGGCCATCAGGAAACAGAGAATCTGCCAAGAATAGACATTTAACAGAAGGGAAAGAAAATAGATTGAGAAGTTTGAATAAGTTCATCAACTTTGCTACATCCCTGACCTCAACATGGAGAAGAAAATAGAAAAACATAAAACAGTTCACCTTAAAATGAGCAAGAATTCATCAACCACTGACCACGTCTCAAATTATATATATATATATATATGTGAACATATAAATTTATCTATCTATAACACATACGGCATGACACACTGGACTAATAARCCAAATTCTTATGCATGCCGACAATTTCTCTTTTTTCCCTTTCCTATGGTCTATGAGATAAAAAAAAAACTGTTCAGATCTAGGAATAGTTCAATATAAAGAACTTTTTTTTTTGAAGCAGAGAAGGTGGCTGAARAATTACATACTTCATAATCCTCTAGAAAGTATTTCTCAAACTAGGCTGCATCTCCCTATATGGTTACAAGTTTCAAAATGAGTTAGAAAAGATCAAAATCATCACAATGCTTTTAAATGGACAAATAAGATGAAACTACAATAATTAAAATTAAATCTCAGAGAAATGAAAAAGCAACCAAAAAAACACAAACCCCAAATTATTACAAAGCATTACTGGAAGAGTTCAGTTCCTTCAGGGAAAAAAAGTGTAGAGCAGCAGTAATTACTGGCTGCAAAAGTTTACAAGAGGCAGAGAAGAGCAAACTACCTTTAATTGCTAGCAACAGCTTGGCTCCCCAGAGTGAGAAGGGTAACCATTTTCAACCATTGCTAAAAATATAACCCTTGCCCTGCAGAACCACGCCACTGCCAGTAATTAATGATAGGAACCTACTGGCTGGCACAATTATACAGAAACGCAGACCCCTAAAGTCTGAAAAACTTTACACTTGAAACAAAAGCAATCGACTCCAAAAACAGGTCCTTCCTAAGTACCATTTTTACATGAGAACACTACTAGCAATGAGTAACCTCACTAGCCCACACTATAAAGTATTCATCAAGTCAGCTTAATTATTTGGTTCCCATTCTTTCATCAAGAACTTTGGGAATGTGTTCAGCAAGTCTATTTTCTTCCTACTATTTGCTCTAACAGTGTCTTTGCCTCCAGTTCCTCCTGTTTCAAGGACAGGGGGCAATATCACACTTCTTTTTCTAATTCAGGATTAAACTGAAGTAAGATGTTCCATGGCTATCCAAGAGGAATAAATTTAAACAAGAAAATATTTACAAACATTCAAACTGCAAAGACTCCCCCCATCTAATAATTTTCACATAGTATTAAAGTCTAGATAAGTTGACACATCAAACTACACAATTGCAAAGTTTTCTTCTATGGAAGATCTACAACTCAATTGTTTTCAGGATCACTCAGGCCCCAAATTACATTTCTGTTCCTTAAAATGCATTAACCTCTAGAGGGTTTTGAATTTTAGACTTACAAAACCTTTGCTAAATTTTAGATTTAGCAAAACAAAGCCAATTACGTCTGGCAAGCTATTGTGTTTCAAAGGRAGCACGTGTTTCAAAGTTTCAACATGCCAGCAGGCTATTGTGTTTCAAAGTATTGTGAAGTCTGAGCTATGGTAAGGCTGTCTATGCRCTTCTACTACCAAAGCAAATAGAAGGGATCTGAAGTCTCCTCCAGAAGAAGTTGAAAAGTATCATAGAGTGAAACAAGGATTCTTCTACCCAAAAGAAAACTTAATTATGTCATTTGGCATGGAAATATATCTCATTCTGAAGCAACACATCTGATCACTGCAAAAAAAAATTAAAAAATCTTGGTTTAGATGAATTTTAGGGTAAGAGATGCAAYAGATTAGGCACTGTATCAGGCATTTCAAACCATGGTAAAGGGAAACTTTTCAGGTGAGCATACTAAAAAGGGGCTTTTCATGAGCATACATGCTGAAGGCATGAAAATCTTGAAGAGCTTAGAAGCAGRAAAACTGACATATCTAAATCAAATATTTTCTCATTAATTTTGCAGCCTAGCTAGTTGTGATGTTACAAATTACAACTTTAAATCCTGGCATCGACGTAATTATACTGACAAAGTTCTTTACTAAAAAATTCATATCACCTGTTGAATTGAGGTAAACTGGTGGAAAACCAGACTTTTTTCTACCACCAAGCAGATAGTTCTAACGGTAGTGAAGACTAGTCAGAGTACCACTATCTCCCTATGTACTTTCAAAAACTCTGYTGCTAAATGAATACTATGAGCAAACCACAGGTTTTTTTCATGTTTAAAGGCTTTTTTTAATAGGACAGAAATTTTTTGTATTACTTACGTAGAAAGTGGGAAAATTATGCAGTTACCAAATATATATGTAAAAGGTTTAAATGCTGATGCAGCTTTTACTCTGGTCTTTAATAAGCATATGATCTCTCAGAAATGGTGTATTTTCTAGCTGCTTCAAGTATTTGCATGGTGTCTTCAACTAATGTGTGCAGAAGTTTATAAAAATTCAGTTATTTTACTGCAAATCACTCTTGAAGACTAYATACACCTTGGCATAGAAAGAATCAAACAAAGCTTGTAAATATAAACAAAAGCATCTTCCACATCAGTTACATTTGAAGTTATTTGACTTCAAAGACACAAAAGGATGGGGCAACAAAATGTAAAAGTGTTACACATTTCTAAAGGGAAACGCTTTTATCATTTGATTTCTGTATCACAGTGATCACTAATCCACACACAAAAATAAGAGTGAAGAATGTATTTTTCTCATATCACACTTAGAGGTGAAAAATCCATATTTATCTAAGCAGTAATAACTAAAGACAGCATAAGCACACAACCAAGGAACAATTCCAATAACTAACTATTCCAAGGAAAGATGTAAAGTAGATTAGATTATATGGTATCCTTGTAACACATTAGACTACACTACCACCTACAAACATTTTTTAATTTTCTCACAAATCATAGTCTGTCTTTCTGCTTTGCTACAACAACCTTTCTTAGCATACCTTATCAACTGTAATGTTTTATTATTGCAGTATGRTTGTATAAATCCCAGAGGGAAAAACTGATTTTTGAAATATAAATTCAGCCCAGGTACATTATAGAGTCTGAGCAGCCATAATTCTGTCTCCATGACATGACCCCTGACAATGCCTGACARTGACCCCTCAACTTATCAGAACATGATTCGTGCTTCCGAGACTGTATGCAGGAGGCTTTGAAAGGTGAAAACTGTCTCAACACATGTTCATTAAAGAAAAATACAGCAAGACCAAACACAGCACATACAGCTTTTCAATGAACACCACTGAATTACATAAGGATCAGGTATCAGAGGTGTCAAGATAGCACTGGACACAGGAAGCTGGAGAGGAATACTTCCCAACAGGTAACAAAACTAGATGGAAGGCAGGACATTCAAAAATAAAATAGCACCCATTCAARTCTTAAAAATTTAATATCTACAGGATCTGAAGTTATTTTTATTGTTTTCTTTTAACTTGAGAGGTCAAACTCTTTCTCATTAAAAAGCTTGCATTTATGCAGACTAGGCTTACATGTAGTCTTTTGTTTCAAATAATTTTCTGAGCACATTTTTTCTGTYGATCAAAGTGAATTAAGTTCTGCTGTCCAGTCTCACTTGCTACAAATCTCTACAAGACAGCACTGAAGAGCTGCAGCCTGTTCAGGGTGAACTTCAGTTCAAATAATCTCTCTTACACTTTCCTTTATAATCTAGAGTTTTTGTCCTTGCCTTTACTCATCTAAAACCAATGGATGGCACTCCAGAAAAAAAATTATTCAAAATACATAAAAGATAATTTTAATGCTGCTGTTTAAGTTGTTCAGTACAGCAATTAGTTTGCCCCCTGCAGCCTGTGAACTGAAGTTATTCTCACCTTAATAGACCTCCTCTAGGTGTGAACAATTTTTAAAAAATGAAATGGAAATAAATCAGCATAGAAACTTTTCATAAGAGTTCAGTTTTCATGAGGATTGAAGGTATGAAAAAAATGAAGTAAAATGTAGAAGTAATGCTTTTCACTATCCTGTAAGGCYGACCAGTGACAAGTATGGGAACCTYTCAGCCTGGATTGGTGGCAACAGTCTCAGAACAAATTTAAACGTAAATTTCATAATGTATTTTCTTCATAGTGCATTAAAAGCTGTCATATCMTTGGCAGCAGATTCTGACCATTTTTGTCAAACACATTTTAATGAACTGTTTACCAGAACTACCCAAATGAAAGCAAGAATTTTTCCCRACAGATCATTTCAGGTTTAGGAAGGAGAACTTTTCTAGGTAATGGCTAAAGTCAATTTAGGAAAAACACCATGARGTTTAGAATGCCACCCTATTTTTAACAAGCATAACATGTATTTGAAGAAAAAAGTAAATAAGCATGACATCATTATTCTTGGRAAAGGGTGTTAGTCTATTACTAACTCTAGCTTTTGGTCCATGCTTCACAAATCCTAGTTGTGCATTGTAGATTAATACTTACCTAAAAATCTCTTATAGGAAATTCACTTTAAGGTTGCTTGTCTTACTGCATGTGGAGTTACAACAACCGGACAGTAAATCCAGAAGGTTTTATAGTTGACAGAACCTCCAGCAAGGCTCCATCTACAGAAATACTTAGCTCCTTTGATTTCATTTTAAGTATCCTATAAAAATGTCTTTAAATAGTAATCTTAGCTTTCCTGCAATCTAAAATTGAAATGCAGTTTAATAATTTCTAAACAATTACCTCAAGAACGTTCATAAAAAAATCAAGAACTATGTCTACTTTTTAAACAGAAAGTAGAATGTCTCTAAATATCAAATAATCAAAAGCAAATAAAATAGCTCAGTCATACTAACTAGTTTCAAAAATGCTGTCTAATTAAAAAGCAAGGATATTCAGAATTACAGTCATCAAGTCTCATTTTTAGTATTTTATTGGTATCAAATATTTGTCCATATGGCTTGCCCATTGTTAAAGGGCTGCCAACATAACATGATCAGCAATATCCAGAGATAATCGATAAACTTGCTTAATGCAACTATGCATTACATGCTTTTACARAAACTATTCAGTTTTACACAACAAAAACATGCAATTTTTACATAGTTACAAATAACTTAACACTTCAAAAGATTACAAATTACAAGTTGTGATATTTTAAAAGGAAAACAATTGTTTTTTATTCACTTACCAAGACTGTATTATATCTGTCCTCCAAGTCAGTGATAAACGAAGGAAATGCTGGTTTTGCCAGCTAGGTCAGAACAAAGAAAGCCTTAGACTTGGGCTCTTAGTGAGACAATGGAGAATATTTTCAAACAGTAGATGTTGTAAACACCTACATTTGAACTAGTCACCAAGGCTCCCTTTACACAGCAGGCACCAAGCGCTGGCCATTTTTCAAGCTCTAATTAAATCCCAGTTAATGGGGTAGGGGGGAATCATGCAAGTTTTTAAATACCTGGCTCTCAAGCATTTASTGCTTTTAAGGAAATCACTTAATTTGGATATTGTAATAAAAAAATGCTAAAAATACTAAAATACTACATTCATGACTATTTGAAATGTATTGAATGGCAGAAAAAGCCAGCCACTTACAAAACTTTAACCAWAAATTTTTCTCCACTTAAAGCACTCACCAATCTTTGGTCATTTCCAGAGTATTTTTCTTAGTGTGAGCTAAATTTTTCTTTAAGCTACTCATCTCTCTCTGCTGACTATAGGGGGAGCCTGGATGCCTAGGTTTACACAGCTTAAGTAGTGTTTTATGAAAACTTCCCCATTACTAGTATGAAACAACCTTTAATACAAGCAYACATTAGAAAATAGCAGTCATAATAAAAAAGAAATTATTAATATGCAAAGAAAAATACAAATCTCTTTCAATTAATGCCAGTTATAGATTAAATGCTAATAAGAAAATATCCAAGTTAATCCATTTCAGAGAGAAAATTTACTCTTAATACCATTTTAGCAGCCACTGCTTTAATTTGCTTCTTTTTCTTGAGGAAAAAACTGACCAAGTCAGAAAGCACTCTGAACTAATATCTGAGTTTTGAGGTGTTTGCGCTTTATAAACAAACATTAATTGTTTTGTTTCCACTTTGTACTGCCTAACTTTGAAGTAATTTTAGAGACACTGGTCATTCTTGCAATACTTCTGTTTGACAGCTTATTTTCTTTGGTGTTAGTGGTTCATAAATAAGCACAAGTTTATACATAGGTACATACATACATGCATATACCAGTTCTTGAAGTGTGTTTTAAGGAGAAATGTACAATTATTTTTCATTTTTACCAGCCTCAGTAAGTGGATAAGCAACACATTCATAGTTCTTTACATCCAACTTTCAGTGTACCATACTGGCATTAAGGAAAAGAGCAATGCAGATATTCCATGTAGTTTGGATACTCCTAATATTAGAAAATACATGTTCTACAACAGCACTGATATTTAAAAACCAGTGTAATGGACCAACTGTAGCAATTATCTTTAAGCTCAATCTTCACCTGCAGAAATAATACAGAGCATACTGATGTAGCTTGCTTTCATTATTTACTACAGGAAAGCTCAGGATAATGTGGCTAGTAAGTAGTAAAACATGAAAGACATCAGTGAAAGYAAAACTTATTATCTGGTTGGGACAAGAGAGTGTCTTTTTTTGGTAAGTGACAGTTCACAAAAATGAAAAGGAACTCTCATGTAATCAAACTTTTGTCTCTTATTCCAGCTATGAGTGTGTAACTGGAAAACCCTACAATCTKCACAGCTGCAGATAACAGGTGTTCGAAGATGCTGTCTAGCCCTCAGCAAAAGACACATTTCGCAATACAAATTAGAGGGATGGAATAAAACCCCAAACCCTCACTTCCCAATGCTAAGTGTCTTTTAAACCGAATGCATTTTGAACTGTTACAATTATTATCACGTAATGTACAAATAAATGGGAGAATGATTCTTAATGTATTCTGGACTTGGTGCCATGAGGGCTTGCAGGTCACATGTCCCTTAGCAGAATAAAAATAATTTATTTTCAAATTCAATGAGCTATGTATTAATTTTCATATTCTATAAACTTCAGTTTACAAGTGCCTGGAGTATTTCCTAATACCAGCAGCAGTCCCATCTGATGTTGCAAAAATGAAAACAGTAAGATTATTTATTTCAGCAGCAACATACTAAAATAAACTTAGTAACATCAGAAGAATTCTTTTTATTTCATGTAACATTTCAAGTTATTCCAGATCTTCTTCCCAGTCAACTCACATATAAATATGCCACTTAAGATTTAGTTATTGCCTACCTTCCTCCTTTGAGACACRCTAAGGGCAGCGAAGTCATTAAACAAGGATGAATTTGGTGAAGTTAGTGGATCTATAAAACCAGCATAAAACCAACATGTTACATAGTTATATGCTACTAAAAGAAACCYTGTAATTTTTAACTTATTTCTGTATGGAAAAAATCCTTTTGACAAAGCTAAGTTTAGCAACTACACTGCTAAAACCCACAGCATTTATTACATTTTGTGCAACTGCTTAATTGAAATGCTCATTAATAGAACTCAGCAAGTTTAATTGCTGTTGACACTATTTAAAGTCCATCTTCATCTGATCAGAAAACCTGTTGTAAGTGCTCCTTACATTTGCATGTCATTCTTAGTACTGTAGATGATAGAGTACAGTGTTACTAATTTACCAGAAGATCCTCTGAAAGGGCTGACAAGCATTGGAACAGGCTGCCCAGAGCAAGTGCATGAGTCAACATCCCTAGAGGTGTTGTGTAAATGTAGCATTGAGGGACAAGGTTTAGTAGCGCACTCGGCAGGGCTGGGATAACAGCTGGACCCAATCTTAAAAAGTCTTTTCCAGCGTAAAAAATCCTATGATGCTATGATCTCCAGTTACCTGATATAAGCAATCTTCTGTGTATCAGGTCTTACAAATAWCGATGTGGATTTTGCTTGTCCTGTCACTGCTCTGCACAGCAAATTTAAATCAGAACCAACGACAGCAATAGTAAAACTTTTTATTGCTTTTTCTTTGTTCCCATTCATCCTTTCCAGAGCTGAAGTATCAAAAACTGTGTGACATTCACAGATGCAATATAAAACTCCAAACTGCATGGGTGAAGCTGWCAAATTAGCAGATGACTGCCAGCTGTAAAAATTGGGTGTTTTGATGAAACACCTTCAACATTAAATTCTTAACAGAGGATTTAACTTAAATTTCTACAACAATAAATATCCCTTAAAAGGGCAATTCTACAAGTGAAGCACTGCTTGGCAGAGCCAGGGGGAGAGAGAGGGGAAAGAATCTGAGACACAACAAAATTCAAAATGGTTTCCAAAAACTGGCCTGGTTTCTCTCCTTGACATGCATCACCATTACTATTTGGCCTGTCAGTGTCAAACTGGCTGTATTTAAAACTGGAAAGCTCCACTGCCTTGAATAGCTAATTGTTCAGTGGGACAAAAGAAGCAGAGTTAATCTCAAAGCATATTGGAAATAAATTAGGAAGAAAAAACAAGAAAACACCTGCAAATTTTGRCTTTCAAGCAAGTTCATTTTATAATAGTTACTATCATGCTTTAAAAATTACAATACTAGTAAGCAGAATAGCTGCAGCGTCAGATATGCAAATCAAGTTCTAGAGCACAGTTTACACAGCAATTTTCAAAGAAGAAATTTACTTTAAACGTATGCTTTTGCCATAAGGGAGCAGTACCCTCTTCTTTAAAGAACGTAATTTAACAGCTATAGTCGAAATAATCCGCGGCGATTCTGAAGAGCACAGTACAAAACTCAATATACCCTCCATAATAATTTAGAGAATACATAGGCTTCCACTACCAAGACACTTTCTTCAGCTGAAAACCATGTACACAAAACATATTCCTATAGCAAGGAAAAAAGTTGTACGAGGCAAAGCTTGCTTGCAAGAGAAAACTTAATAGCTATTAAGGATCACCAGTTATGTAACATTTATAGCTATAAAAAAAACATTATTTATGTGACATTTCACAACATCCCCACACCCTTAATTTATGGGAAAACACCTGTAACACTAATCCCACACCATAACTTATCCAAGAAGCATAATAAAAAGGTATACTATAGTAAAGCAACATAAATGCTTAAGCTGTCATCGCTTTACAGTGGATATTCAAACTAAGACTTCACTTTAAGTGACAAGACTGATAATGATGTTTAGTTTTTCCCCTAGAGCCAAGAGAAGGCAAAAAAAAATTTATGAGCTCAGAAATAATTCAACTTTGCATGGTATCACTGTTAAAAAATAAAGTTCTGCTGTATCTCATGAAATCAGAGAACAAGTAACACTTCCTTAAGCCTCAGTTTTGTGAATCTCTCAAATTGTCAAACATACTTTTAAATTAAAAGTACTTACCATGGCCTGCATACTGCTTGGCACTTTCATTGAGAAGGCTAGGAGAGCTGCTGCTATTTGTCATCCTCTGCAAAAATAAAAGATGAAAGTGCACATGTAAAATAAAGCCACAACGGATTAAGTAAGGGCATTGGGGATGACATTTAGAAAGTTTTAAGGACAGAAACTTGTTTCTCATTTCCCATTTAGTAAGTACGCTAAGCAAACAGACTTGTAGTTAACAAAAATGTTTAGTAAAATAAAGCATTTTCCACAATTGAAATGCAAAATTACCAAAAATTACTGTATATTAAAATAAAACACTATCTTCATTAATTTCTCCTAATTAGGAGGGTCTACCAAACCTACGGTTCTCTTTCTGTATGTTGTGAAAATATTAGATAAATCAATTAGTTATCTCCTTAAAACATTCTTTGACACTGCACTCCTCAAACAACTCCTCCGTTTAATATAGTATCATCAAGACAGGAAACTTCTCTAATGAAAAATACTTGAGTATTTGAAAGATTCTTTTTAAAAACAAAAGAACCTTTTGATACCTTTCAGCAAAACAACAGATTCTTCCAAGTCAGCAGAACATCTGAAACCCTCTTAAGATTCCTCCTAGGCTCTGCTTGCTTCTGCTACATTCCTCTAGAGATATGAGCTAGCAATAAACTGGACTAGAAGTGAAGGAGTGCTGTTTCTAAGAGCTATTGCTTCTTTGATAGAGAAGTTTAAAAGTGTCTCTTCTAACTCATGCTTATTATTCTCCTTCAGCAGCTTCTCAACAGGAAGAAAAAGTGTGAGAAGAAAAAGGAAAGCAAGGTCAGGAAGAGCTCTTCATCACTGACAGAGACAGCCACTAATTTGTTAAAATACTCCCCAGTATGCTTTTGGCCCACATCAACCCAGAGTCTCCCAGCCAATTTCCAGGCACTATTCAGCAGTGAAAAGGTGTGAGATCCCTTCAAATAGACAGTTTGCATGCAGACTCTGCTTTAGTGGGTGAGCACACARCAGCACAAACAGGCCATTTTGTGCCAGCTGGCCCTAAGCATAAAGGAAAGTTTCCACACATGTTTTTTAGTAGTCTAGACACAGACTGACTCAAAACTGGTCACTAGTTGCTCTTTATGTCTCAATGTTGGTGGCAAACGGCAGGAAACGTAATACATTACACTTCAATGCCATTTCATCTAATTGTTGACCACAAAGATCCATATTCTGGAGTAATTTTGGTGAGAACAGAGGACARCCAATAGAAGCTGGATTGCTATCCAGCAATGGTAGAACTGTAAACCTACTGCAATTCAAGTCTCCCAGCACTTGCAGTTTTCACAGCACCTCAAACTTCACCAGAAGCTGCAGCTTTTAAAACTTGTATCTAAAGGAATAGATGTGTAAAGTAGGAAGGCTTACAGATGTAAATAGCATGTAAACCTTCAGCTTTTTCAAAATGTCAAGCCAGCTGTCTGCTACATGCTCTTTCCTTACTTTGATGTCACCTGTCTCATGTTCCTAAATATACTGAACTGACACAAAACAAATATCACTAACTTCTTAAGTGATAAACAATTCTATACACAAAAGGCATGGGTCCAGTGAAACAAAGTTGACTTACTTTTACAAAACAAGGTACTGCTTTGAAAGACCCACACCAGACAATAGACAATCTCTGCCCAAATTCAATGAAGCTCATCCTACTGCTCACAATCATCAAAATAAGGATAAAAATACAATAAAGATATTTCTGGATTACAGTAGCTCAAGTAATCATATACCATATTCCCTTCCCATGCAACGGAAAGAAGTTAATTTTCCATAGATGCTTAAAAAGCATCCCTGTCATGCAAATTTTTTTGGCATTTGATGCTTCCTCACTGATTCTCATAAAACGAAGAGGATTAAGAAGACATTTCCTAAAGGGAACCTTTCAGATTTGTACAAGATTTGTCCAGGAATAGGTAAAAATACTATTAATTTCTATTTATAATACAAGATTTAGTAATAATTTTAATGCTAAATGTAATAATAACTTTGATGCAAAAGGATCTGTTGAAAGAGGAATAAATATTRGTATCCAAGTTGATTAAGCACATTGGTATCCAAGTTGATTAAGCACATAACTTAAACTTGGAACCAAGAACTTTTATTCCATCAATATTCTCCATCCTCAGGAACAGGAGTTAAACTTTCAACCATTCAACCAACAGACTCAATATGAATAGGAGACTGAGATGATGAAAATCAGTGCTGACATGATCACTGAGAACATATAGTGCGCACAAGGCAGACTGCGACAGAGCATATTGTTCTGGATTCTGAAAGCACAGTGCAACCCAAATCAACATTGCGCTTTTAGAAAGTCAACCTCTCATTCAAAGTGCAAATGTATCTTAAATGCACCAGGATTCTGAAAATCCAAATCKTGGGCAACTCTTTGTCTTAATAACTGCTTGTAACCTGTACCTTGAATGGTTAGAAATCGCCACCAAATTCATGAACTTTTCATTTTTCCCACTTTTACTACATGCACAAACTTCTTACCTTAACATTGTTCACAGAAGACCTGCACGTAATCAGTAAAGGATTGTTAATCTGTTTTAATATTAAGATTTCTACCACACCCAAATGCATTTAATCTTAATGAAGGTTACTCCTTTATCTGATTTTTACCATAAGGTTCTTGAAAGAAAAAAAAAAATAAATGAACACAAAAGTGCTGCTTATTATTTGTGTTTTCTGGAAGGCAGCTTTGATTTTATATACACTTTTCAACCTCTTCTAATGATGTTGAACTACTTTTCATACAAACTCAATGTCAAGAAGATTGTAAGCACCTCAAGCACAAGAGCTGAAAGCTCTAGAAAAGCAAAAGCAACCATTAACAGGAAAGGAAAATTAAATATTAAGCCTTACAGGGAAGGTAAGCACACACACAAGAGCTTCAGACTGTTTTAGTACATCATGACTTTCATTGTACGGAGGTTAATATGGAAAGACAACTTTGTCATAACCAAGTGACACACTCAGTTCCACAAACTCCTTTCCTCTGCCTGCCTATTGCTATGATTATTTGAGGCTCTTCAAACACTATTCAAAATACAGGTACAATGGCTGGCATACATCCTTCCCCTCTCCCTTTAAAGGAATTTGCAAGTAGTTTCTGTTTCAGCTTTTCCTCACAGGAGAGATGCTCCAGTACCCACGTCATCTTAGTGACCATTCAGTGGACTCTCTTCAGTATATCCATGTCTCTCATGCACTGAGAGACCCAGCACTCCAGCTGTGACTTCATCACTGCTGGACAGAAAGGAAGGACCAGCACCCTGACCTTTTTACAATGTCTTACCTCATGAAGTCCAGTTCCTTGGTGGAGTATACTAAGAAGAGAAATATCACAACACTCCTACCTTCTAAAGGTAAACACCACCTTGCCTCCACCCTTCAATACTCAGTAGCAAATCCCAGAATTACAGCTGCAATTAAGGCAAGTTTGTTTTATCTACCTCCACTAAAGTGTATATTACAAAATTCCCACCAAGATAAAGCATGAATAAAACTTCAATGCTAACAATTAGGTCCAATTTTACATGGCTTGCAAGGCTTATCTTGAAGTGAGTGTTTTTCCTTTTCTTTTCTCCACCATTTCTTTTCTCCAAAATACATAAGAGATTATATCTATTTCTTTTGTCTCCGTATTCCCTGCCCTAACCCTGAGAAAGTAAGGACTTTCCTCATGGTCATTCCACAKTGCAAAGCATGCCATTTCAAAATATTCTGCAGTATGACACAATCTAGTATCTTACTACTGCTTTAATGAAACTATATTTCAGAATATTTCTTTATAATTTTTAGAATAATGTCGATTTGAGTACAAAAAGTCATCCCACAAAAGATGAAGATGGACTTGTTTGGATGTGACATTGTTTAGTTGCTAGATTCTCTGACCTACAAAGGGTGATATATTTTGCTTTTCTTTTTAAACAATCCAAAACCTGTCTTTAACAGCATATGTGGCACCATCTACAGCATAACCCACTCAACTGCTGGAACTAAAGCAAGTGGATTACTTCAACTGCATAATTTTATATTTAAAATAGAACATCTGTAGTTCCACTCAGATCTCAAGAGTTAGAAACCGAAGACATTTACAAACTTCTGTGCTATAAACAGAGTTTTATTGACTGTTGGCAGATGCAGCAATGGCAACAAAGGTCTTTGTGTTTGTTCAGCTGCAAGGCTTTGAAGTAATCATGGTCACCCCTTCTCAGGCTATTCAAGAATGCTTAGTACCCCAACATTTGCATGGCGAAAACAAGCAAAACCAATTCCTCTCCATTGCTTGGCCTTGCCAACTTCAATGCTGAGGACTGTTACCACTTTATGATTTTATTAGGGTGATTGATTGAGAACTTTAGATTCTTCCTTTCGGTATAACATGCAGTCCAATGTAGTTATAAATCTCATCCCATCAAAATAAATAAAACCAGATTTCTGCGAAGCAACATGGATGAAGGCACCTTCTACTGTTTTATGACCTTACAACTAAGTTGCTCAATTCTAATATGTTAGAAGTTTTAACATCACAACATTTCTCTGCCTCATCCTGCTCTAATACCCTTTTAACAGCCCAACATAATATTATAAAGTTTCTATCCACATCACCGGCATCTTTTGTCAAGCCATAAGTTATTCAAAGGGCAGCACTAATGCCAGAGGAACAGCAACACCAGCCAGCCAAGTGGCACACGCAGAGCAACTGAGCAAAGAGCCAAGCATTAGAGGCATCCTAGACAGCCAGCTCCTGCCTCTTCATTGCTGGGAGAGCCAGAATCAGTGAGCTGCTTTTTGAACCACACCTCTGACTGTCTCTTGGCAGCTGCTGCTATGCCAAAAAGAAAAAGAACAGCTTCGAGGACAGCATGCAGCCTGTGGGCCATGTGCTGTGCAGGCCTGCTGCTCTGCCGCTGATTAATATTAGAGAAGGGGAAAGCAGAAAACAAGTGCTTTGATAAGATGGAAGACAATACTGTTAATATGATATATGAAAGCATATGCAGATTGCGAGAAGACACATGAAACAAAACAGTATTATGGAAAAACAYAAACCAGTGTGGACAGAACACTACTAACCAATAGGAAACTAAGTAACAACAGAAGAGGACAAAATGGGGACAACAAAAGGCTGGCTAACAGCAAAGACCTTGGAAGGAGGAGTGGAAGGATGAGGCAAAGCATTTTATTTTTAAAGAAGAAAAAGGAAGAATTAGAGCTATGGTCACTTCAAAAATGCTGCCTCTTCTGAACTGTACCAAGTATTTTTACTCTGTTTTCCCCACTGCAAAGTGAATATTGCCATTAATTGCATCTTTACCACTATATGAAGCCCAAAGATACGTTCGAGACCTCGTAAAATATTCTTCTACAGATATAAATGAAATCTCAAAGTCAGAAATATCTATTCTACAGATATGCAGACAAACATTCATCTGCATCACTTATGGCCAAAGCAGCACATCCACTYCCAATTCATCATGATATCATCTACTTTTACTTTCCTCCCTTTTGCTTACTTAACACTGAGTCTTAGAAATGAGGCACTGCACCCAAAAATGCAATAATTGCAAAGTTTGGATATAACTTTGCTTGATGCAGTTTGGTTCCACTACATATGCATTATGATAACCCCAACATATACAACCACATACCCTTTTTCAACAAACCTCTGTTGTATTTGCTTGCACATGACAAATACTTTTTGGAGATTAGATAGGAACAGTCAAGACAACTCCTCAATTGAATACCTGATGATTATATTGAGAGGTAGCTAGTGAAAAAAACAAGGACAGCAGAAAGATTATTTCATAGTAACAGAGTTGACCAATACCCAGAAGAGACTCACTTTATTACTATCTTTGCTAGAGTGAGACGAGTTAAGCAACTTAAACCAAGGTTTTTATTGGTGGTCATTAATTCCATTYCAACCTTTCAACTGTAAAGACTGGTTTCAAAAACTCAAGTCCCTAGTTTGCCAGCACTGCTGGGGCATTGTTTAACTGTCATCCTTTTTCATCCCTTGCATCTATAAATGGAGACTATTTTCTTGTTTCATAAGGAAAGTATTTCACAAAGTTTGATGGAATAATTGTAACCTAAAAGTGCACTGCCAACTAACAGTCTTCACAAGGACACAAACAGCATGCAGGAATAAAGGACAGAACCATATGATTATCATTTAATTAAACATCAAACAGATGCTCGAAATACACGGATGTGCCACACATCCTGTGTCCTGAAAAGTCCCACTAATTATTTTCCCACTAAAAAAAAGCTACACAACATTATGAGAAATACAACTCAATATACAACCTCAAGGCTGCGCTGGCAAMCTAAACTTACCATCTCCTAACATCTTGCTGCATCTTACTAGTGTTCTTCTGTTAGTGTGCTTATGTGCATGTTTGTGCAATTTCCCAATTTTAGAAACAACATGAAGACGTTGCCCCACATTGCATCAGAGATGCATCTATTTGTGAACTACACAGATASACCAGACATGACAAAGTAATGCAGATGGAAATGACGTTTCCATCTGCAAAGCAAAACTGAGAGTTAATGAAATATTTTACARAAGACATCTGATGTTTCATGGATAGCAGAACTAAATTTTACTATCTTTAGTCTGATTCAAAGACCTGGAGAGAAAAAGGAACATGGATTTGCTCTCTCCACCCTACTTTGTCCCACCTTCACATTATGAAGACTTGTTTTCAGTTTCTGTGTATTTCATTAGCACAATTCCAGTCCCCATTCTGTGAGTGACCCACCAAGGTCTTCTCTTTGCTTAGTCCTTCTGCTCAGTATTTCCTGGTTTCTTCTTTACTTATCTTCAGCTCAGCTTCTCTAAGCCCACAGTGTAAGTCTCTTTTCCCCTACCAACCCCTCTGCTCCAATTAACACAGATACAGAGCTCTTTCATTAAATATAGATCCACTTCCATGTTGCTTCAGTCTGAAGCGGACAGTAAGTGGGAAATGAAGCTGATCAGAATTCAGAGTTCAGGCAAGGCCTAGATTATGCCAAAGCTGCAACTGCAAAAATGTACTCAAGCTGCAACATGCCAGTGCAGATTACATCTCTGGGAAATTATGTAACATCTAGGAAGTCTCCAGTGGGTCTATATAAACCTGTTCTGCAAAAGTTTAACCAACTGACAAAATCTGTGCAAATTTTCAGCAAAAGCAAGAAGTATATCCTTGACACAATAACCAATCTATCAGATTTAAAAAGTCTCTGTTCCAAACCATAAAGGACTAGTACTATTTAAAGTCAAACTCACTAAAATTTCCCCCTTGCCTTGTTCTCCAAGGGGCTGAATGACACAAAATCTCATTCTAAGTGGCTAAACTTTGTCAGTATGGAATTAACCTAGAAGGTGACACGCAGTCAAAACAGACAGCATTACCAGCTTTACCTATGCAAACAAGAACTTAAATTATATGATTCAATGGAATAAAATGTCAACATAGGAATACTTTTAAAACTGCAGTCTGATGCGAGTAAGTACATTCTCAATACTAATAAAATCCTCCTTCCGAAGTAATTTCCCTTATTCTCCAATGGGCAAAAGGCACGCTGATTCCTTCTTGAAGAGAAAATGCCTTGACTGTAATCTCAGAGACATTAGTAAAGTATTTAAAAATCCTATAAGCATTCAGGTTAGATGCATGCCTTATTATCTCTCCTTCTAGAAGAAACAGCTATGACTAAAAAATGGTGTTCAGAAAGACACTAGTGTTTTTGTAAAATACTGTTTAAGGATACAAAAAACAATGACTTTGTGCTAAAATTATATGACCTCAGTGATGAAAAACTTTGTAACTGCCTGCTTCAACAGTATGCTTCAGGATGAGAGGTTAAAATTTTTCTTTTTAAATCATGCATCACTGTCAGTAAAACATTTCCATACTTTTGCAATTCTGTCAAATAAGAAAATTCAGCTTTCTTGAAAGCATGCAGTAAAAAAAACAAACAAACRAAAAAAGGGAACACACCTAATTAACTCCCACCTTTTGCTGAGTTATTTTTCAATCCATAATACAGCCACAATTGAGATCAAAGTAAGCTCATAAGGAGAGTTTCCTCGATATAAAAGAAGAGAGGTGTTGTCAGGATTCAGTGTGAACTGTTTGACATGTGCTCTCTCTCATTTACCAGTAGTGGCTTTGTTTAGTACAGGACCGACCATCATTTTTTCAGGGACAGACTGTGCCTCTTTTAAAATGCATAACACTTTGAGGGAGTTATTATAGTACTTCATGTGTTAATTCAGTAGATACTCATTTAGGTTTTAAATACGACAGACTTTTGCTGCAAATTTTGCATAATACTACCTACACAGTAAATTCCACCTCATGGGAGTTCCTATGCCAACACTATAAATACAGGGAAACATCTCAGAAAATTTAAATATGAATTCAACATACCACCACCAGAGTTTGCATTTACAAATACTGAAATTTTTGCCTAGTAATTTCAGGTTTGACAGATCATATTTTGCTTTGGTGATTTTTAATCTTTGAAAAGTTTCAAAATGTAATTTTTATATATTTAGCAAAAGGCTATCAAAAGCTATGAGCCTAAAAAGAAAACTAGAAATTCATATTCAGAAAAGAAACCTAACACAGAGTTAAYGTATGCAGCAAAGCTCAGCACAACAGCGCAGGTAAGTGCTAACAAAACCAGATTCATTTTAAAGCAATGATACTGTTTCATTTCCATTTGCAAGATTAAAGGAAGCATATACTCTGTATATCATACAAAGATGGCACATTCCAGAGGGCTCCCTTTGTCCCACCTCTTGACCAGTTTTCCCTTTCCATTGTAACACCAGCAGGAACTAGCGAAACATTATACAAATCACTGCTATTACCTGCATCATGGGATACTTTGTTTCAGCAGGACTTCCAAATCCATTAACACCAATGAAGCTGGTGCTAAAGTAAGAATCCGTTAGATTGGCATCAGCTAACCCGCTGCCATCCATTCCGGGAACTGAAAGGAAAAAAAAAAACAAAAATGCCTCAGAATATGTTTCCTTTACCATGGATTTATTCATTAGTATCTATTATATATATTCTTTTTTTTTTGTCAGGGGAATAGAATAGGAAAAGGTGGGTACTACTGTCTTCTCAGGAAAACAGCCAAACACATATTAGTGCATAGCATGAAAAAGGAAGTTTATGAAATAAGTCGCTAAATGAGAGCATTTGTAGCATGAAGTTGCAGTGCAAATACAAAAAGAAGCAATGAGGAGTTTGAATTTTAGAAACAAGAAAAACAAGGAAATTAATTATATCAAAAAGAAAATGCATCTATTAAAAAACCTAGAAGGCAAGCTTATTTTATGAAAACCCATACTTTTGCATGCCCTTCTKGGAAACACGTTTTAAGTAGAATTTTGAACTGGATGCACTGATTCTTTTAAAGGGCAATATACAGAAGATGCACACTTAAAAATATCTCAAACCCTTTCACAGAAAGCAAACTATAAATGCTTCCTTAAGAGCTTAAGAAAATTTTCATCATCTCATTCTTTATAAAGTGGCAACAATTTCCTGAAATGTAGCCAAAAAATCCCTTCTATTGAAAGGAAGTGTGAAGGATGCAAGAAGAAATTCATCCTGCCTAGAAACAAGAGCCTCAACATGCAAGACTTTAAACACAAATAAATTCAACACTAGAAAGCTACAAAGAGAAACAAGAAGCTGTCATAATTAACACAAAACTCTCAAGCAGATATTACTTCAGCAGGAAAAAAAAATTTACAGTGATATGCCAACTGCAGCTCAAATCAACCTCCTGCAAAAGCATCCACTATAAAGACACTAATCACTATGGCCAGGCCACTGCAAGCCAACAGGCATGAGTAATGGGTAGCTGCAARATAGGAAGGCACACATCCAACTCAGAGGAACATCCTGTACCAAACTATCCAACTTRAACTTCTGGGAGGACTCACAGCCAGGTGGTAACACCCAGAAACAATTTCCTGATGCTAATCCTCAAAGGAAATAAAATGCAACTTAGTGGCACAGCTAAAGGAACGCATATTATAAACCCTCACTTTTCATCAGAATAGGAATTTTCCCTCCAAAACAGACTACATAACCTGGTGAGCCATTTCCATGTGTTAGGCACAGGAAACAGCAAAAAAGTACAGTCATACGTAACCACAGGAAGGGTTGGAAGAGGAGGATGACAAGTAGCACACACACCACAGACAAAAGGAAACACTGCCCAGCTGCACTCCGCTGGAACTGGAGCTGCATGAGTCAGCCCACTGGGGGAACACCAACACCAGTTCAAATGAAGAGCTGTATGAGAGATCAAATAAACTGAATATCTCAGTGGCAATAAACATCAGTTTTGCAAGGAAAAGATTCTTAAAGTTTTGTYGGAACATTATGTATATATTCAGTAGGTTTGAAGGAAACACCTAAGAAACTTTAAAGATGACAATCATTAATGAATTGCTACTTCTTTTTACAAGTTTTAAAAGTTAGCTAAGAGATTAGGAAAATAAAACTCCCTCCACTATCCATGCCCTAGTTCCTCCTTCACAATTTTAAATAAGTAGCCAAATAGAAACTTCAGAAGTCCTCCTGCTACAGCCCTAAAAAAAAAAAAAACAACTTTTTTAATTTGTCTTTTAAATGACTGTTCCTCCTTTGCCTTCATTTGGGCAAGTCAAATTTAGGAGCTGAGGGAAAGCATTTTATAGCTCAACTACTGTACTACAGAAAATAGTCATGTCTGCAGTAATGCCAATTACTGTCTCATCCTTCCTGCTACAGTCAGTCCCTAACTTACACTGTGAAGGTTTGCATCTTACCACATGGTTTTCTGGCACCATGAAAAATACCAGGTCACGTTCATACAAGAAAAAAAAAAGACAGCAAATCCATGTCTAATTGTAAGCAGTTTCAGTCCAGTTTGCCCATAAATTTTTCAAGGCTCTCACTGGGGTTTTTATTTATTCTAAAAAGGCATTTCCAATATAGCTTTCTCTGCCTACATTTCAGCCATTATCAAAAACTTTTGCAATTTTTATGCTACACCTTGACCCACCTGAAAAAACTTCCATTTCAAAGAACAACTGTCATTTCAAGGTACACTAGAAAAGTTCAGCAGTATATATACCACTCCACCTTATACTTTTGCCAGAAATTATAGAGTATATCCAATATTTAACAAACTAGCAAGATACTCCCTCAGATGACACCATCAGTTCTCCAAATCCTTCAGGCTCTGTTGACAGATCAAGAAAAAGACTGTTCTTCCTGCTTCTCCCACTGCTCCTCACTATGCTAGTCAACATGAGAATGCATGTACCTTCATTTCTCCTTTGAACAAATATAGTTGATGCACAAAATCCTCCAAACTGGAAAGAAGCAAATGAAAACTTGCAAGTTTTGCCACACTGAGAAAGCCCAGAGCTGATCTGCAGTTAARTCCAGACAGCTAGCACAGCTCAGTCACCCATTATCAAAACAAAGCACCGCGACAGTAATCTTGGTAGGGCACAGATATAGCACCAGGTGCTCTGCTCCTGCTCTGGCTGAAACACTCTCAGTGCCAGGCAGGAAAAGCTGCAAGCAGGAGCAGGCTTTGGGCAGCAACCGCAGAGACTGAGCAAGGCTGAGGATGCTGCTGGGATGTTTGTCACTGCTGCCTTTCTACGGCTGGTATTTGCTATGGAAGCCTATTCAAGACACTCGAGACTGCTCAAAGGTACGATTGGGGCTATTGGCACACTGATATCTAACTGGGCACTTTAAGCAGCAGAAGCTACTTCAGAACACTTTCTTTTATCTAGCTGCAGGAAGACAATCTCCACACTGAAGTGCTATGGTTTGGCCACATCAATCAGCCACTCTAACAAATTCCAGTACTCCAGTGCTGATCCACCTTTGCAGTGCTCAATTCTACCGGTAACACAGCAATTTCAAAATCACTTTCAACTACAGATATTTTATTGTCCTCTTCCAAATGGTCTAAAAACATACTGCTAGCAGAGGGACYCAGATATCCTGCAGGAACAATCAAAAGAAAACCATCAAAAGTACACTCACAGGAGCAGAGGACAGTCCTCTTGGCAGTAGCTCAGATTTAGATCAGAATGCTAACTAGAAGTAGCAAGTATAACTACTGACTTCAAAAGAATAGTAGTTCCCTTCAACTGACTTCCCTGTAGCAATTAGCAAGAAAATTAAGAGTGCAAAAAAGATGAAAAAAGTAATTCTYGCATTGCTTACAAAGTTTAAAAAAGTGTTCAATACATAAACCATTTGTGTTCCAAAGGCCATGCAGCTTTTATACTGATGATAGCCCAGCAAATACCTAAACAGCCAAACATTTTTACTGTATTTGGCACCYGGCCTTCTCTATGAGAAGTAGATTACTTTCTCCTCCTCCTGCCAAACATTTAGCAAATCAGCAATTGTTACTTACTTCTGAGAKACCACAATAGTTTAGAGAATGTAAAAAGAGAACTTCTTTATCATAAGCAACCCATAAAAAGATGGCAGAAGTGGGTGCACTTTACTACACGTGCAGTGTGGTATTAAAAAAATGGAAATCTAAGCTGGAAAAAAAAATTTCTTAGTCCTCAAAGTTTTTATTCTCACGTGTTTACTGATTCACCTAAGTGCCTGCATTTGACTTATCCATTCAAGTCTTTCCTACAGACCAATTGCAAGCAAATATTCCATATACGTGCTATTAAAATAGCAATAAACTTCTTCTGATGTCTATGTATTTTCTCTTTTAAAGCATTGATTATAACTTTAGGTAAGTTTAGGCAAATTCAGGAAAATCCTGAATTAGCTAATTTTTGTTAAAGGAGTAAGACCTTCTGTTGTGTAGCAGTATTATCATACTGCTGTTGTGTAGCAGTATTATCTATGCACTGAAGCTGTTTATATTTTCAATAGGTTCTTCATGAAGAGAAGCATCAACTTCCTTGTAAAAGTGGAAAGGCTGACCAGGCAGGTCTGAGAAAAGATGGATGCATAACGGAACAACTAAGAATCCAGTGAGGGAAGAAATGCTAACACATTATGTAAGCACCTACGTGAAAACAAATTTCTAAATTCCATCAATAWTCAAAACAGAAGTTACATCCTGGCAATCCAATTAAAAGAAATTAAATAAAACATCTTGAGAAATTAAAAAGGAGTTTTCTACTTTTTATACACACATTATCTAATACATTTCTTGCTTAGTGAGTAACACTGCAGCTTAATGTGACAACTGCAATTAAAAMTAAATACATTCTTACATAATTCCTCTCCCACAGAATTTTAGCAGAAAGTAGGCTTCCCGCCAGATGCAGCACCAAAGAGGGGGRAAAAAAATGGTGTACCAGCACTATTTGAACACTAATACTATCTGAAAATATTTTCTGATATTTTCATTCTATGATTTCACTAACCAGTAAACAAATACTGTATTATCCTAGCCTGCCTCTTTTATGAACCCAGAATCAGCACTGATAATCTCACACACTGTTCTTAATATAAAAAAGAATTCTTTCCGGTAATGTGATATATTGCTCCCAAAGTGAATGGGCTAAAGCAAAGCCACAATGGATTTAGCTGATACTTTTCAAAACAATGTTTGAAACACTTCTGGCAAGGTAATAAAACATCGATTGAAATAATTCATTTGCTATTATCACTTTTTCTTAAAATGTATAATTATTTTCATACTGGGTATAAAGTTTGTATGTAATCTTCATTTAAACTCCCAGCACTACAACAGTGCACTTTTCACATGCTGGTAAACTGAATCATGGGTTCATTGTATACATGTGCATCCTAAGGACAAGGTGCTAGTTCAGCTAGATATAAAGCAGTAAAAACTACAGTGCCGTATCTCCAGAGAATTTACAGAGATAGCTGTCCCAATATTGAGACAAAAACAACAAAATATTTATACAAAGCTTATCTAAGGCATGTCACTTAAGATTTGTGTCCTTTTAGTCACCTAGA